CTCACTGTAATTTGCATCTTTGTTTTGACCATTTCTTCATTGAGAATCACAACCACATCAATCGTCACGATTAGCAACTTCTTACAACTAAATTATAAAGGTAAGTCAGAAGTAATTTTGCTCTAAAATACACATATCCCTATTTTGAGAGGGGGAGGATTAGTGACCTCGTGAAGTTGAGAAGGGAGCTCGAGCGGTCACTGGTGAGCGGCGTGCGGGTGACGAGTTGCATGGGAAAAGTGTGATTTTATGCGTCAGAAAAGTCGTCATATTTCGGCCAAAAATGATTTTTACACGGAAATTTTATTAGACTGGGTCACTAGAATTAGATTATGCATTGAATGTATATGGTGAGAACGCTGGAGTCGATAAACAGTCGGGAACCATTCCATGTTAGTTGTGGATTAATCGCCGTGGAATCCGTGTTTGGATGGACTATCAGCGGAGTGGTTCCAGGTGGCAACAATAGCAAGTTAAATTACGCTGGTGTCGTAATTAGTTCAAGCAAGAGCTCTGTAGAGAAGAAAACTCAAGAAGAGCATGAACGAGTCAAGATCTCACAAGATAAACGTGTAAAGGTCGACGAGTTGAGACGGTGGGAGCGAAGTGTTGTGGGGATTCCCAGAATCGGCCAGCCTGCCATGAGGGGGTGCGGATTGGGAAACGGCAACAGCTTCACTCCAAAGAAGTCAAGATTACTCTCGACAACAAAGGTACTTGGTCAAATTAGTGACAAGTACACGAATAAGTCGTCGTGTGGGAAGATGGAAGCTTGTAACCCCATCGGATTCAGTCGTCCAGCCTCTATTAAGCCGAAGATGAAGGTGCAGAAAGTGGTGGAGAAGAATGCCGAATGGTGGGAGCGACCGACCCCTAGGATTTCAAGATGTCAAGAGAAGAAGCAAGTCCAGAAGGAGCCGGAAGTTGGTGGTAAGGATCAAGATAGGATCTCGAAGAAACCAGTGCGGTATCCGAAGTGGAATTTGTAATTTATTTGTGTAATTTAATTTGAATTTGATATTGCATAATTTGTTTTTATAATAGTTCTTTTGCTCTCACAAAAGAAGGTGGGAGTATGTTAAATGTAAAATGATGTATTTATGAAATTGTTTTATGTATTTTTGTAAATTGTTGGATATGCGTGTAAGATTGCCCCGTGACGTGGTGGTGGTTGCCATGGTGACGTCAGGGTGGGATTTTTAGGTGCGCGTCTCTCTTTGTTATAGTCGTAGTGAGTAAGTAGGTAGAAGAATTCTACAAAGTCGAGTTTTAGTCGTTGTCAGAGTCAGACATTTTGGATTTTAGTCGTCGTGGTAGGAAATCAAGAGTAAGAATTGTTAATTCTTTGTTATTGATGTCCACGATTAATTTGTCGTTATAGTAGTACCAATCAACTCGTGTTAGTGCAGAGCTCTGAATTGTGTTGACAATTAATAATTTGTTGGAAATAAAATCTAGTTTAAGTAGATAAAATAATCGTATATTCACTCAAGTCACTTTCTTAATTCCAACGAGCAAAGCACAATTAAATATACGTAAAGACACTATACTCCGGGTAGGTGATAGCTTGGTTTTTACAAACAGCGACCAAGAATTTTTAATAATTCTGCATTATTAAAAATACGGATGTTTTCTAATTCACAGAGTTTTCTATTGTTTCTATGTCTGATTTGCCGGACCATAGCTACAAAAATTTAAATTAAATGATGCATTTCTAGAATTTATTTCCTAATATCCATTTTTATACACAAGTCTATAAAAATTTGAGCCATGATTATGTCAAAATTGTGTACCGATTCCACCCACTTAAGTATAACAGGGCGAGCTTCTTCTACCGCTACAACGGTTTATTTGCCTACTTATGACTGGAGAGAGAAACCCGAGGCCATAGTTGGTACTTCGTACTGTAACACAGGAGTTTTAATACCCAGACCTAGAATTATTTTTATCACCAAGAAAACAATGCATTTTCAATGTACATATATAACCGATAATCTGCACCATTATGGTTTCATTTACGAAATTTTCAGCTATGTATTTGCCTAAATTGAACGCTACCAAATTTTACCTCCATCTAAACCTTCTCGCTACGGTGTAGCATTTACAGGTGAGAATGTGTCATTCCACGAGAATAAAAAAAACAGCAAACAAAAGACAACAAGAGTGAAGTAACAGAAAAATTGGAGGATGGGCATCTGCATCCTTGTATCGCGCAATAGGATTGGCTCATAAAATGGGTTGACCAACTTACATAACATAACAAAACAACAAAGCTGCATTGGACTCGTCATCCATCCCACATAAAACTAAACGTAAATGTTCTTGTGCTGTGATGACGAGGGTCACGTATTTATTCGCAAAGGATTAAAGTAGCAGTGAAAGCATATCTGTTTGGCTAACTGGAGCTATTAAATAAGTGGCGTAAATAGCACCAGCTCGTATAAACCTGATAACAACATTCGCATCGTGGGCTTCTTAATTGGTCTTAATCATATCGTTTCAAAGTTTATTTTATACGATGATGATGATGATACGTACGCGCTATGATTTCATGTGAACGGAGTGATTGAACAGACAACGAACGTATCATCATCCGACCAAAGTAGCAGTATTATAGTCGAGTTTGTGTGTGAATAGGAATGAAAAACAGCGTCTCTCGAGCGATGTATTAATTAATCGCGGTGGTTGTTGTCGCGTCGAGTAAACATCAATATGCGTCATTCATATGGAGTCAACTTATTGGCACAAACAGTTGCTGAGCAGCTTTTTGGGTTTTTTGCACCTCTCTATTTTTTCCCTGTGGAGATTATTATGCGTTTTATAAAATGCTGGGAAAAGGAACCAGCCACGTTTTATGAGCAGATGGAGTGTGTGCAATGAATAATGTGCAAAATTGCGTTGGTCCACGACACGCGGATCGTATTAAAGTGTATTACATATTCTATTGAAATAAGTACGGTTGACCACGCCATGCCTGTTGTTTTGTTGGTCAGAAAAAATTTTGCATGCATGTACGCATGAAAAAGAGGGTGCTGTTTCCTGGCTCGTAAATATATGTATGCGAAATAATAATGCCTGCTCTACTACGCTTGAGACTTTCGCCTTCAGCATTTCTTGGAAAACGCGTCTCTACATTTCACAATGAAATGTAGAGACGCGACCCTATTTTGTTTCTACTATGGTGGCCTATACGCAAATGTTTTTGCCAACTTCGATCCAAATCCGATTGTTTGTGCCCTTGAACAACGGGAGACAAGAGTTCGTTATATTATTCTCATGCTGCCACTATCACCACGCTTCTAAATACATCAAACTCACTTATCGGATATGTATGAATGAAATGGAACTTTGTTATTATTGTCAGTGGGACGATTCTCATCTCGTTCAAGTGTGTTCTAACCAAATCCTTGCTTTTGAATAATTCCCACTTGCTTATCATTATCGTCATCATCGCTTGGAACAACTGATCTCCGCAGATGATATGCACAGAGAACAATGTTGAAGACATGCCGCAATTTTTTAGGAAGAGATTGTTGTTGCCTGATATATATTTTGAATTTATTCTTTTCCCCACAAAACAAAAAACCACCACGCAGGTTTTGATAACAAGAGAAAAACAACAACAAACAAGTCCCACTACTGGTGCAATGATGACGATGACGGTGGAATATTTTAGAGCACGAGGCGCGAGTAAACGTAAAGCCTGACGAGACAGTGGTATTTACTACACAAAGAGGATTATAATTATGTAATTCAACCATCAATTGTATCAATTGTAAAGCATTGGCTGATACAAGGTTCGCATTGGATGGAGGAGATGCGAAGGGGGGAAAGAAGCCAAGCAGTTTTCATGAATCACGATGATACATTCAAACAGTATGCCAAATGAAGATCTTTCTTTGCGTCTAGTGTATTACATGTGCAAAAAATGCCCTTGACGGTTTCACAAACCCTTCTTCCACCACCGAACGGCGAACTCTTATTTTTACCCATCTCCACACAATACTTGCTAAAACGTGCCATGGACGCCAAACAAGAAAGGCAAAACTCTGACTGCAAATTTGGCTTGAAATGGGATTCACAACAATGCTTGTTGTTTATTATTGTTGTTGTCTTTGGAGCCGTGAGCAAGTGATTATGAACGTTTTCATTTTTGACATTGCTGCTTGCACATATGTGTACTTCGATTCATTTGAATATTACATCAAAACACGAAGATCTCCAAAGAGCCATATCGTCGCCCCAGCAGAATTATACGGAATGAATGAATGCAATGTCATGGCATTTCCGCGGATGATGATAACTCCTAGAGTACTACTACACCCGTACCCGTGGTGCTGGTGGTGGCGAGCGGCGCTACGATTGGCTCTCCCATGCTGCTCCACTGGGGGATTTTTGCAAATTCCTCCCACAACGAGTTGCCGTTTGTCGGCCCCCGCATCAGGAAAAAACCACTCATTCCACTCGCACAAAGAAGACAACAACATGTAGATGATCGCTCCCAAAAGTCAAGACAAAAGTCAAGAAATCACCACGTTGTATTTACTACTACGAAAACAAACCCCACTTCCATTCATTGAGTAAGAACGGACCTTGATTTCAAATTTCCAAAGTATATCGTAGTTTCAAGAACTACGATATTCGAAGACTGCGACTTTCTAAGACATTTTCAAGATGTTCGCGATCTTGCTAAGCGTCACTCTTTAACCTCTTTAACTTGTGGGTGGTGTAAATTGTACAGCACGTGACCACGCCATCAATCCTAAAGAGCTTGCCTGTTGTCATGGAATAGCAATCCGTACAAGATCGCTCATATATGGCCTGTTGTTGTATTCTCTTTAATTTAACGTTGTTCCCGTACTTGCTCGAGTGTTCTGGTAGAGCGTATTTAACTCGAAGAGGAGGAGGAGGCATAAAAAAGTACAAAAACATAGCAGAAAGAAGAGTTACATTAGCGTTACTTTGCCTTACGTTATTATTTGCAGAGAAGGGAGAGAAGACACATCCTGCCCCACAAGCAAGCAAGCAGCCAAGCCAAGCAGTACTACATAAAAGCAAGCACGTTTCTTGCGTATAACGTGTAAAGTTATATAGTTTTAGCTTTTAGTGGAAAAGCGTGTGTGTTGTTTTGTTGGACTGAGCAGCGAGTGGGCTCCGTCAGCAGTCTTCTCCCAATTTTGTTCCGTGACACACGTTGTTCTCTTTACAGCTGCAGAAACAGAGTTGAGCTCGTCTAAAGCAAAACAAAACAATTTGGTGGAAATACTATACTCGAGCTATTTGCCAGGTATTATTACACTGCTGGTCTAACAATCAAGAAGAGTAAGAATTGGGTGAATTATTTCGGTCCCGAAGTACTATTTCGAACGTAAACAGTGGTGGCAGAGAGAGAGAGAGAGGAACGCCTGGGTGGTGTGTGGCGTGACCTTCAGAGACGAAGAGGAGGAACCAGTTAGTTGGTTTGGCGTATGGATGTGGTGGCGGTGTTGTTGACCACATAACGTAATACGGACAGTAATAGGTAGGCAAGTCGTAGTCTATTATTCGCCTGGACGCCTTGTCACCCTGGATCAAGAAAAGGACAACAGCTTGGAAAGAAGTATCGAATTGCTGATTGGTAAAAATAGACTGGACGCTAGAGAGAGAGACAAAAAGAAGTGACTTTGCATGCGTGACGTCAGTTATACTCTCCTCGTCTCGGCGGTCGTCAAGATAAGTTGTTTTGGTAAAATAAGTGTATAAGTGTCCTGTAACGAGAAGTCGCCGTTGTCGAGAGTGTCGTGGTGGTGGTGGTGACGATGCGAATTGCAGTGATCAGAACCTCACCCCGTTTGGCGTACATTAATCAAATCTCATTTCTCGGAGATTCAGTTGCTGACGTAAGTAAATAAATATACATAACAAAACAAATGGCCAAAACCCGTACACATAAACACACCTCTGTAGCTGTCTTTAGTTGGCTTTAGTTTTAGTGGTAAAATTATAATCGTTCCTGGGAGATGGATTTGCTTGCCAAGTTGATTCGTGCAAATTCTTAATAACTTGGCTGCATGTGGTATACTCGTACTTAGGTAGGTAAATATTTGTGGCAACAGGAGTAAAAGACAATTTTAACTGGTTTATAAACATACTCACAATTAGAAATCCTGACGTCCAAATGGAAGAAAGGCAAAAAGTGCATGTTACTAATTGGACTTCAAATGAAAGCAATTTAGTTGCAGTCACAGTAATTTGGTTCTATTATTCGATTCCAATCGTATGAGTTCATTTTCATAAATAGAAATAAATAGAAATGGGTCATTATATTTCTTTCGTTTCAAATTTTTCCTGTCATTCATTTCATTAATTATTGACAATTATTGACAGTCAAACAAGACATAACAAATATGCATTGTTTTGTTATTATATTAATCCATTTGAATCGATTAATATATCAGCATAATAAGTTATGCAAGCAAAGTCAGTTTTATTTTGTGCTAAACCAAGTGGCTGCTGGTATTTTTCAACAGTTATCTAAAGTTTACTATTACTATTCCTATATGTATTATTGAATACAACACAATAGGTCTTTACTACGCAAACACGCTACATTCCATGTATTGACAAAGTTAAGTTTGTTTAAATCAAATTAAATTGTTGCCATGTCATTCATATTATTTGCCTGAAATCAATAATAATCGTTCCATGTTCCACATACATCTGGCAAAATCAAACCCAATGAAAGACACGTTGTGAAAGTTATTATATGCTTTCACCCTACCTCAATGCTACTCGATCCGTTTTATCGCCCGTGTTGCAAGAAGATCAAGTTCAAAGAGGCTCCACATGGGGTTTTTGTTATTGGATTTTAATTTCTGCATATGACAATCATTGGACATGAGTATATAATCCACACTTGCAAAATAAATTAGTTGGTGGTCTTTAATGCAAGCAATGATTTAGCAAATACATTCCTACATTCAAACGTAACAATACAACGTTGTCACCAAATCTAACCCAGGATCGTAATGCTGCTACATAATAATAACGTAGAGCTGGCAACTGCCCAATAATAGCCTAATAGAGAAAGAAAGCCAACCTGCAAAAACACAGCCCCGAAAGTGCCAATCTCATCACATCTTTAACACGTGAGTCAGTGCACCTCACTTTACTTTTGGTTTTGCTATATCCATCCATCCGATCCCCAGTACGGGCGAACGTTTTTTACTTTGTTGACAAACAAATGGTTGCACCACCACGAGCAGTCATGTGACGATGTTCTATCTATGGAACTGTTTTTCTCCTCTTTCATCGTGACGTGTTGGCTCTCTTTCCGAGTGCGAAAGTCGGGCACTTTCTCTTTCGGGGAAAGTACATTTGGTAGGTTGGAGTGCGGGGCGGATCCCCGATTTCTCCGACCAAATCTTTTACTACTACTTGGTTGCTTGCACAAGCCGGGGAGAAGGGGAGCATTTTTTATATTGCAATTCCCTCGGGAATGCTGCAATTTCTTGCTCGTGGAAAGTGTAACCTTGCGAAATAATCCATGAATCGATATGTTGTTTGTTGTCCTCTCATCCATCATCCAGAGTCCTGCTACTTCTCTCAGAGTTGTTTCAAAGTTCAAGGTCTTTCTCGCGCCTTTGGTCAGAGCAAATGTAATGTGGTCCGGAGCAGCAGCAGGATCCTTGCAAAAAGTAAATTTATTAGTTCCGCGTTGATGTAATAATAAAGAGGAGACGAAGGAGAAGGAGTTCACAAATTCTGTGAGATAGCTCGTGTGTCATGTACGTAGAGATTATGTACGCATTAGTACCATTTTGCTAAATAGGAGCATAAATATAGAAATGGGTGACTTGTTCGTAGATTAATGTCACCCACTGGTCTACATCTAATTTGTTTCAGTCTGTCTTGTGGGATGGACGTAATTGCATGTGCAAGAAGAAGACGAAAATATTTGCAGAAATTGAGAAATAAACAGAGCTTGTTTAGGCAACTCATCATCTCGAGTGAATGATGCAAATCAGTAAACACACGAGTTTCACATTATCTTATCTGAATGATGCTACAATTTTATGAAATCGAGTTGAACTCAATGTTGCTGGACGACGACGACGATAATAAAAATAATCGTCTCCTTCATGGCATGAATGATGTCTGAAATTTAAGCTGTAATATTATTATTCATTACTGGTCTTTAGTGATGATGAAGCACAAATAATGGTGGTGGACAATGTTATGGTCTCTCAGTTCCCTAAATATCAGCAGCTGGTGGTTTGATTTGGTTTTTTGATTGACGAATCCCAATGAAAGAGTGGACGATGATGATAAAATTATAAAAATAGGGCTGACTGCCGCCGTAGTTTTGCCATTTCGGACTTTGTTACATAGTCAGACGGATTGACACAATTTCACGTGTAAAGAAAGTTCATGTGAACTTTGGGATTGAATCACGTTACTCTTATTTTGTTTATTTGAGACCAGGCTTATAGATATTCCATTGTTTGGCTGATAACCACATGACATAACACAACAGGAGCTTAACATTTATTTACTATGCTTATTCTCGCTAAATGTTGATTACCTAATCATTTTTTATATAACTACATGGTCTGCATGGAGGGCAAATGATGGTGCGGTTTTGCACATGTAGTGTAATAGAACAATCCAGAGCAGGTGATATTAAAGACTAGGCAAAGTAAAATGTAGGTCGAATGCTTGTTTGAGCCAGGTATTTTCTGTTAGATTTGTCACGTGACCTAAGCTTATTTAATATGGGTTTAGCCATGATCAAATTGCACATTTTTTAAAAGTTCACTATCGCATTTGGTTAAAACATTAATAAAGTCTACTTATTTACTTTCGATGACCTACCTCTTCTTGGAGGCTCGTCATGTTTATTGGCATCGTCACATGCTCGCAGATCTCTTTAATTTCATAATCCAATACAGATAATCGTCTGAAACTTTTTCTGGACTCGAGTCATGGGTGGCCTAGTTTTTTTGTATTTATTTATTGGGCTGTGATTCGATTCAAATTCGATACATCATGCAGCAATCTGCTTGTCAAGGCTTGTCATCAAGAAAAGTCAGACAAATGCAGAAACTGGGACTGGACACGAACGAATGCATTTAAAGTTGTTTTTGTTGGTTTGGCATTTATCTATGTGTGTAGTTTGACACAACTTTCCTTATTTGACATTGCAATTTTTTGCTATTAGTAGTATGGGATTATTTGTTGCATATGTATTGTTGGCTCAATTAGTATGCATAAAGAGAAACCCAACACTAATGCTTTAAAATGATGTTCAATAATGATTTTTAAATCATTGGATTAAAAAACCTTCAATTGCAATATGTCAAATTGTTTAGACACACAATTCATGATTCATTATGTCGTTAGATTACGAAAAATAAACGTGTCAAAAATTATAAATTTTAAAGCGTATGTTTAATAACATGCATAATAACGTGCATTTAAATTTTAAATGCTAGATCACATTAATTAATAAGGTTTAACTAAATACATTGATATTTACAATCAAGTAAAAACTGCCTACTTATTGATTTCGATGTATTGAAGTGCATAAATGCATGTGGCGATCTAAATTCGAAAGCAATGTGCCATTCGTTTGTTTATTATGCGTCCAGGCCACACGAACTATGTAACTACATACATATGGATTTGCATGTATTTATTTATCCATTTATTTGCAGTTGTCTGTCACAGTGAATTATTAATTCTTGAATATGTGGGGAAATAATTAATGCAGTGCAGAGCGAGTGGATGCGGTTTTATTGCATGATGAGAGAGAAATGGGAGCAAATTCATGTTTGTATATCGCACTTTATTTCCTGTTACAGAATTTGAATATGTATGAATTACATATTGAAGTTGAGTATGAGACGACCAGAAAAGCACAATGAATCCTTTGATTGAAAATATTTCAAGCTACATCACATCATGTCGTCAGCTCTCTTTCTTTAATTGGATAAGTTGGGCACAAATAAATAGAAATAAAGTCGTCAGCAACAGTACAGTTCTGCCAGATTGTAATCGTGCAGTCCTGTTTTCCCCCATTACTAATAATATCAATTTGGCTCTGCACATGTATTTGTAATAGCTGGTAACTGAATTAATTATACACTAAAGTGCATGCAGTCATTGCACTTGGCAATTTGTCCAATTTGGCGCACAACAACGGAACCACAAGATTAGTTGTATGAACTTTCGATTGCATCATGCACAAGAAGTTTCACGTGAATGACAAGTGATTTATGGAATTATACAGAGATCCAATCGAAGAGACACCATGCACACAATGACATAATGTTGTATAATCTGTAACACAGGTCATGAATCCCTAGAAAGAGTAGTTCTCTTCGCATTTATATAATATACACACACACGTTTGTCGTTATTGGCAAATGTGGTAATGAATTTGAAATTGAGCATCCGTTCGATTAAACCAAGTCTTATGTTTTTTTTCTCTAAATAAAAGACTCGATTAAAGAGAGGGAGAGAGAGTACCATGAACTATTGACCATCACCCTTGTTGACCAGGCCTAAAAAACAAATGGAAAAGAGATGAAAAGACAATGTGCATGCTGAGCAATAACAAACATCAGTTTCTACTTGTTATTGCCTACAAAGTTTTCTACCAATTAATGAATATGTATGAAGTGAAATGCGGTTATTCACATTTGGTATTTCGCTCAGTGTAAATACTCAGCTACTCATATCATCAATGAGTAGCTGACTTGATAAGAAGTGCATTGGCACAATATGTGTAGCATAATATTTGCAGAAAATGAACTTGTTCTCTGCTATGGCATTGGCATGGACGAAGGAATGAGAGATAGTTCATGGAAAGCGAGTTATGCACTCGTACAGCACACCAAGCAAAATAATGGCACGAACAACATGCACAAAACTTGCTGTTGTTGCATCGTATCCAAGTTGACTTTGCATTATGACCGTTGCATGACATTGAGAGAGGGAGAGAAGTGCATCCACTTTTTTGTGTACATAGAGAATTTATCGATCAGCAGAGCTTTTGCTCATCGTAACGTTTTTTTATATACAACGCGGACATCAACCTTAGCTGGGTGGTTGGAGCGTCCAGAAACACTCCCTTTTTCGACATTGTTTAATATGTATATGACGACGTGGAGAACAGTTATTTATGAGAAGCAAGCAGCGTTGCAAACGGGTTGTTGTTCCTCCATTCCTCCTCCCCCTCCACCTGGCAGGTTTATTCGGTCGTTGAGATTTAAAGAAGTTAGCGCGTTGTTACAGAGTCGCAGAGTGAAAAGTCCATTGACTTTCTCTTTAGGTGCCGCGGCTCTCAAGGTTATTCAAATATATTGGACTTGGAAACGCGCGTGGGACTCTGGCGTGTTTATACTGTTGACGTACTACAGATCATCACAGCTTATATTTGGACTCTCCTGCCTGGTTGCATACATGTGCAAATATTCGTGCAGCATAGCACCAACGTTAACTATCACCGTCCACCACCACCACTATCTCACCATCACTGCACATTACCAATTTTATAGTCAAGTATTTAAATGGAGTTGCCGTAATTTTAAGAATGGTGCTATAATGACATTGATGTAAAGCGGAGCAATATTACTTAATAGCAATTTCTCCAAAAAAGTGCTGATGCTGGTGGAACAAGTGTGACGTGCGAAAGCTGGGATGTCAATGGTCCTTTTCGCAGTCATTCATTCATAACCATCATGCAATAATAATCTCTTGGTGTATAATTACTGACTGGGAGGATGAGGAGAGAGAGATTGGGTATTGAACATGAATTAGACTGATAAGCCGAGATGAATTTTATACGATTGCGATGCGGGTCGTTCACATCATGCAGCACCAGCAGAAGAAGTGACTTGTTATGGCTAAACGTCAATTAGAAGATTGTGTACTCTTTTGTCGTTCCTCCTACAACCTCCACCGCTAACTAACTAACTAATCAAGAATGTAAACTGGAGTCTGTATCACGTGAAGGAATGTCCATATGGCATATTATATACAACATCAATCGATTTATTATTTACGAGGTCATAAATTCGGGTCGGATATCATTATTAGCTTTTGGAATTAGGAATGAACACTACTCAAGTATCGGATTACATAAAGAAAACGGTGAAAGAATTCGCCACTTCTTTGATGATGATATCATCCTTCTTCGGGCATGGACATAATAAAAATGAGCATTTATTTACAAACGAATATTATTTATTTTATTACGAAGCACAGCAATTGGAGAAGTTCAACACTTTTATGGATTGCATGTGTGTTAAGCAAGTCTGTAAGAATAGAATGTGACATCATCGCTAACGAAATGCATTCACATTTGAGGTTTTGTCCTTAAAAGACGGCAAAAGTCTTGATTGACGAGTATGTATTATGAACGTGTTGTGGTTGGAATTTAGGCACTTTTTGAGTGAGAAGGTATTAACTTGCAGGGAAAATAAATGCTCGCCATTATTATTTTACTACGTTAAGCGGATAGTGATAGAATCCGAGCTGATTGAGAGCTCTACTTTTCCTTCATGAGCTTCTTCATCTTCTTTTCTATTCATGTGAGTTAATACGTAATGTGAAGGTGGCTCTTAAGATTAGTTGGTGGATTGGATGATAACGTAAAAATAGTTGATTATTTGCTATTGCTATATAGCAATACTACCATCGTAATATCGTAAATATATATACAGATAGATAATATTTTATGCGATTGCTTTGGTGGAGATATTTTGGGTGCACTTAAGTTTTAGATAGCTCGGTTATTCTGCAATCTGGTAAGCTTAACGAAATAATAGAATAACCGAAAATTTTCAAGCTTTTTTCAACCATTTTAATAATCCTGGATTTAATGAAATATAAACAAATGATGAGTATATTTCGAATTAGTACTTAGGTAGACCCTTTTATTTACCTAAGTAGAAGGGATCTGGCAAAATGTAAAAGATCTTGTTAAAATCTGGACCAATCAGAGAGTAGGAAAAATTTGGCTAACAGATAACTGGTTAACCACTTAACCGAGCAGCAATTTTTGTACGTACACCCATGAGATAAAATTGCATTTTTTTATTGCACTTGAAAATGCAGGCCTATCATCATCATTTAGCTTTATATTTGCACTTTTCCTCCTCTGTTCGGCGTTCCATGAGGCATGACGCCAACCAACCTGCCCTTCCTCGGTCGAACCACATCACCAGAGTGTAAAATTACCTAAATGCGAGCGAATTCTTCTTCTGCTCGTGGAGGAGGAAAACTCGAGACAACAATCAACCAAGGGTGACTTTGAACTTGCGAGTTACTATTTTCTCCTCTATTTTTCCATTGCTTGGCTGGCTTGGGTTTTGGCTGCAGTTTACGTTCGTGTGGAACATTTTCTTCTTCTCGATTCCAATGTGATCTGATAAAATGGGGAAAGTGAGCACAACTCTCAGCCAAGAGTGCTCGTCGGCAGAGGATTTTGAGGAGGTCGCAATTCATTAAAGTACCTCGTTCCACCTTGGATTTATTTTATGTATTGGTTGGAGACATGTATCGACGGATGAGATTTATGTATTTATCTATATTGGCATCCACTTTGATTCAGCATGTGCTCCATATTGCAAAAATTGGAACGAATTATTGAGGAAGAGAGTGATGAGACAAAATTGAAGGAACGTTTTATTACTTGAACTAACAACATGCTCCTGATTATACACTAAACAGTTGACTCATCATACATACACCCAAGATTATAGGGTTTAAGATTATAGGGTTGGGCAACAACAGCAGGTTCTTCTTGGCTACCGCTGAGCTACTAATTTGTAATTTGACAAATGAAGTTGACAAGACTAGGTACATACAGCATAGTCACGAGCTCCTTCATTTGACATATTTCAACGTCCTACACATCTATCCTGGAGGACATTAATTTGCACGAAATTCATGGCTTAAATGACAAATCTGACTTTCTCCACACCTTCAACTTTCACTGGGGGGCATTTTCCTGGGCTGGTTATGGAAGTTTGATAGACTCCAAGTTTCCTAAAGTACAAAGCAGCCGTAGAGATATATGTATTTCTGTTTACTTCATTTCCGTGCAATTCCCAAGTCTCAAGGTCAACTTTTGCTGTTTTTCACAACTTGCCCAAGGTTACCTCATGCCATGTGGCTATAATCATCATCAACACCACCACCACCAACCAACATCATCAATACTTGTTAGTATGTATGTATACATACATATGTAGCTTTGTAGTCTATCTGCTTAAATAGGTATGCGAGGAGATGACTCCTCATTATTGGATTGGAGGAAAACTAAACGGCATTCCTGAATCACTGCTCTATTCTCTGTATACAAACGTTTGATATACCTTATCAACCTTTAAGCCAACTGCCTACTGTTGTTGCTGACTGGGCTCAGCTGTGTTTTCGTCATCACATATATTGCATGTCTAATTCTGTGGGAATTTCTGCCTGATAATAATGTAATTGTCTCACCACAACACTCCATGATCCATCCATGGAGTGGCATGTTTATTCTAGCAGATTGTGCTTAAATTTCACTTGGTTGGTTGCTCATGGGTCATAATATCTTTAGCATCATCAGTTGTTGCTGAATAAAACAAAATGTCTGCGAGACATGGGTGTCTAGCCTCCTTGGACGTATTTGCTCTAGCTGACTGACTTTATTACCTTGTTGAACTTCATTTTCGTCTCCGACTGCAAAAGTTGTCCAACTCACAGCAAAAAGATCATACAAATGCAGTCAGTGGGCCAAGCAACAATGCAAACTAACGTCTTATAACATAGTTATATGAGATTCCATTCCACACTTATAACAGGATATCTTCATTGGCATGTTTTTTATTATTAACAATATGGTATGTTGCTGCTTAACTTTGGGAGTCATTTATACGATGATAATGTCTTATGGCGATAGAGATGATGAAATGAAAGCGAATGGGACACATTACTTACTTTTTTTTAGTAATGAGCAAAGTTTTGCTCATTTCGTTTACAAAAGTTTGAAGACTGAGACGGGCATATCCCAGTTATCCCTCACGGGACATAACTTACAAGGTAGTGCAGAGACTTGGGAAGGATTATAAAATATAATTATTCCACCAAAGTGTATACTAACGAACTTGGAGTGAAGGGTTTCGATTAGTTTTTTTATTTAAAAAAGTTAGATTAATCCCGAAAGATTTTGCATGACAACTGTGACGTGTTTATGAGTTGAAATAGAATAAAGTAAGGAAGTGTGCACATGTACGTGTTTAAGGATTACGTATTTGGTAGGAAATGTACTACATGGTCGGATTATTTTTAAACAGTTCGTTTGGTTTAATTAGATATTATTTGTGTATGTGAGACTTGTTATGAGTTCCATTCGTGGAAGCTCAAGTTATGTATAACGGGAGAGGAGAAGAAGATGTAAATGTTTACATATTAGACGGAGAGTTCGTAGAAACTGGAAAAAATACACGTGCTGTTTTATTATTACACAAACAATTTCATTTCAAGTAACACGACTCCTACATACGTACGGATTGTACTTTATTGGGATATTTATAATAATGAGTTTTTGTTTTATTTTTTTCCAGGCTGTTAAGGCGCAGCTAAATTGTTGACTGTAAATTTGAAGAAGAGGAAGCAGAAACAAACACAAAATGTCACAACTCTTACAAGTTCACATTGCGAATCAGAGGTTGATGAAGACAGCTTCTGGTGAAAATAGTCCTGCAAGTCCTGGCTTGATGGTGGGAAGTCCTGGCACGCTGAGTCCCCTGTCCATGGGACCATCAAGTCCACAAGGGATGCCAATCCCACGCCGGATAGGACAAGATCTTCAACACGGAGGATGGATCATGAACAACACTGGTGGGATTGGGTTGAGTGGAGGCACCATGATCAACGCAAATGGTGGCGGATGGAATGGCAACATGATGGGAGACAACAGCATGGAAGGGCTGGATATCATTCCCATGGGAGACATGACCATGGAGGGCGAACTTTCCAAGTTGTCAATGACCGTGGATGAGGACGATATTTTCAAAATGAACCGGAGCGAACTGTTGGGTCCCACACTGGCAGAACTTAACGCTCCCGATGCAGACACGCTGTTGGATGGTCTGAACTTTGATGACCTTTACTGGCCGGTGGATGGAAGTAATCATCATGCTCCGGAGGCGACCCCATCTCCACAAACTCCTGCAGGAAGCAACCCTCTTGATCCCGATGGAGATATGTTTCAAATTCAGCCATCCTCGTCGTTCCCCCCACTTGGGACGCACAGACTGATTGGAGCTGGAACGAGCATGCCGTCGGGACAACAAACACTTTTGGAACAAACGTTACTCCAACCATCACTCATAATGACTGATATGAAATTCAATATCCACCCGAGTATCAGTCACACCCCTCCTCCCAGCAACCCTCAACCGTCGGGGTGAGTATACGCAAGTTCTACTCTTCTTTCATTTCATAAAGCGTTTCCAAATTACTTGCTGAATTTATTCATGGAAATTGATTTCTATTATAGTTCCAGTGGCGGTGGATTGCGTGAGTTGCTTCTTCGTCGCGAGTTACAGAATTCCTTGGAGTCACCCGAGGCTAGTCCTTTGGGTCAGTCCCTTCCTCGCTCCATGATGTGTCCTTCCCCCAATTTGACGACGCGCTTGTCATCGTCAGCTCCCACGAGTCAAGGTCCGAACATGTGGGAGAGTTGGCAGCAGCGAAGGGAAGCTGTCTGGCAACGGAGGGATCCTCGACCTCACCTCTTATCCACAGGATCTCTGGCAGAAGGGGGTTCAACCTCCAGTCTCTCTGCTGGTACACCATTTTGTTAGTTTAATTTCCTGTTCAACTACTCGAATTGTTTAATCATTTTTTTCTACACAAATAGACGTTCTGAGTCCGGGAGGAGGTTTGTCACTTTCTATGGATGAAGGACTAGATTCTGATCAATTAAGTGACGGGGATTCTAGCGACGACGGTAAATTCCAGCAATATTTCTACAATACATAAATTGAAACGCAAACAAAATTCCTTTTTTAATGCTGTAAAATGACCCAAGTTTCAATTCATTTACAGATTCCGAGTTGAGCGACACTGAGAGCACGGCTAGTGGGACTCGTCGTGAAAGATTCTTTTGGCAATATAACGTGCAGGCCAAAGGCCCAAAAGGACAACGACTCGTATTGGCCCCAACACAAGAAGATCCCCACGTACTTCAAAAGCCAACTGATCCCGTGTTCAGCCCATTGTGCCACATTCAAGGCATTAAACATAGGTAAGGAGATGATTCTAGTTATTCAATAACATTTTTCAACTTTCTTGCTGTCATTGCAATCTTGTCATTTTTTTTGCATGCATCAGTGGGAAAGCCAGAAAGGGAGACGGGAATGATTTGACGCCGAACCCGAGAAAGCTGAACGCAATTGGCAAAGAGTTGGACCGGTTAAATAAAGTTATTGCAGAAATGACTCCCGGTAAGATCAAGTTAATTAACAGCAGTAAAAAACCAGTTTAACATTTAATCAAATTTGTCTAACTCTGTTTGACAGTCTCAGATCTTCCAAATGCTGTCAAGACTAAATCGCGAAAGGAAAAGAATAAACTTGCGTCAAGGCAAGTTGTACTTTCTAGTTTATAGTTCAAAAACTCTACTTGTTAACAACAGTGTTTGTATACTAATTATTTACATACTAATTATTTGTAGGGCATGTCGATTGAAGAAGAAAGCTCAACATGAAGCAAATAAGCTCAAATTATATGGACTTGAGCAGGAACACAGTATGTTCTCAGCACTAACTTATGATTAATTTACTACAGCGACTATCTGCAGATTGCTAATAAATAAATTACTTAATTTGCACAATAGAGAGGCTGATGGCAGCTATTGAGCAGTCCCGGCAACTGATTTTCTCCAAGATAGACGGCACCCTGACTGACGTTTCAGAACCAATTGCAGTCAAAGTGGAAAGAATCTCAAAGTTTGGAACCCGTAAGAAGACGCTTGCTAACTTATCATCCTCGAATCCCAACAATTTACCTTCAAACATCATTTCTTTGACAGGACATCGAATCGGAGGCCACACGACTGAATTTGTGAACAAAGTATTGGAAAGGGTGAAACAAGGTGTTCCTGATGGAGGGATCAGTGAATTATAATTCTTGAGTACTCTGTATGCAGTCATTTTTGTCACGTCACACACCAATTATACTTATTGACTTGTCGTATTGTTAATGCAAAAGTTGTTAAGGCTTTATGTTTATTTGCTTGAGTTTTGTTTTGACTATTTTTGACGTGCTGTTTATAAATATCTATATGTATACATATAAATTATATTCATAGTTGTTGTGTAAGGTATTATACGCTATTATACCCATAAGTATATATTGTCATACGTTATTTATTCACTTTTCGTTCGTATTAGTATTACAGATGAATACCACGTCAAGTGTTTCACAAAACCGTTTTCCATATTTCGCATGGGAATGTGAGACAGAGTGAGAAAAGTGGTTCGCGGTGGGTATCCATCATCATTTCGAGTCAGGGTCGTATGAAATCCATTTCTCTTCGTCTCACTTTTTCCATGCAAACTTTTCATCCAACCAGGCGCCTCATTTTATTATATATGTAACCCGAAATTACCGTTCAGTGTCTAGTATACACCATACCTCCTATTATCGTCATCATAAATTCAAGAGTTTTATATTTGGGGCGATTTGGATAAACTAAATTTGCTTATCTGAAAAATTGATAAGTCTGGAGATAAGCCCTATAGCGTTAATTTTTCAGTGAATATCACCATCATAAATTCATAAAAGCTTAAGTTTTAAATTTGGGGCGATATGGATAAACTAAGTTTGCTTATCTGAAAAATTGATAACTTAATTGATAAGCCTCAAAGCATTAATTTTTGAGTGAATATCACCATCATAAATTCAGAAAAGCTTAAGTCTTAAATTTGGGGCGATATGGATAAACTAAGTTTGCTTATCTGAAAAATTGATAACTTAATTGATAAGCCTCAAAGCATTAATTTTTGAGCGAATATCACCATCATAAATTCAGAAAAGCTTAAGTTTTAAATTTGGGGCGATTTAGATAAACTAAGTTTGCTTATCTGAAAAATTGATAAGTCTGTAGGTAAGCCCTATAGCGTTAATTTTTGAGTGAATATCACCATTATAAATTCAGAAAAGCTTAATTTTAACAATTAGATCGATTTGAGGCTACTTTAATAACTTTATTCTTTATCATTATTTTTATGGGTAGTATTTCACAAGCAGCCATACTATGTATGTATGTATGTTACGGCTCTTGCAAAATAAGCCCCTCCCTCAGAAACTTTGACCCCAAATTTCTCGTGGTACCATCGATTCCCTTCGGGCAACAAAAGCTGAAAATGTAGCTCTTCCCAAGGAGAAAAATCTGGCATCGGGTTGTCCGAAGTAAATGGGTGGTACCATGCGTTTTTTAAGGATTTCTGTGTACGTAAAAAAACCGCCAATTTTCGAATTTTGAAACTCTTGATGCATTAAAATGTTCGTATTTCAAGGGGAAGTCAAATTGCAAATGCAAGTATAGGTCTAACTCTTATTCTACACGATGTACATTGACTTTCTCATTTTTCCGAACTTTGTTCCTTTATTTTTATAGGGGGTGTGGTTGCACAGAATTCAAAAAATGTTGTGGTACATTTGTCCTTGTACCCACAATTGCATTTACAATTAATTTTATTTGATTCAATGAAATCGATGCGAAAAGCTATGGAACGTATCCGTCATTTTATCTCTACAACTACTACTGCTGCTAATAGCTACTACCTCTAGGGTACAAGTATTATTGTACATAGGAAAGTTGACAAAGATAAGATGGCTATATGAGGATAGGCTATGTGAGTGGATAATGTGGACCCTTGTTTTTCTGTATTGCGTTAAAAAAAGTGAAACATCACCACCACCTCCTCCTCCTCGAGAGTACTTGTTGCTAAATATACATAAACTATCTTATAAATTATAATATACATACATACATATATATGCCATGAAGCTATCACTATATTAGAGATAAGGAGATGCATTTTTATATAAAACAAGAAGTACTTGCTCCGCTCCTGTGTCTTACAAGAATATGCTATAGCTAGCTCATCATCATCACCACCATAATAATCAATTCAAATTCACTTGGTGCGTTTCGTCCACATAAATTATATTTGAACATTGCATTAGGTTTTGAAAGAAAAACACTTGTTCAACTCTATTTTTTGGATAATCAGGAAAATTATGTGATTTATAAATTGGTACGAAACGTTGGTGATTTAAGAAAGAAAGTAATGTTGACCCCACAACAGATAAATAGCTTCACAGAGTTGCTAGTCCTATTATCAGTTCATACATAATATACGCATATATAGTAAAGTATATTCTATATGAACCACGTTATGCATTATATGGATAAGTAAATCAAGTGTAAACGGAGTACCTACTGAGAGAATGTGATTGTATAGTCAACTTCTGAAATGTTGCCAAAAATAGCGGATCATCGCACATCTTTCCTTTCCTCTTCTTTTTCTTATGCAAAAAATCAAAAGATGGTCAAGCACGCACTGTTTTTGCAGTAATTTTAATTTTTTGTTGGCATCATGGAGGGAGGAATGTAAATACAAAAATATGTCGAAGGGAAAAAGGTAGCTAAAGGAAGGAGGAGGAGATAGATATGCACACATCCTGTAACAAGAATGGTGTTTTGGCAACTTAAAGTACAACTTGTAACCTCTATGGTCTGCTATGCGTTTAAAAAAAGCCACAAGCTTATCAGCTTTAATTATTAACTTGTGTATGCAGATTTGTCCCATCCGTGTCCCAAAATGAACTGTATTTGACTTTACGGAGAAACTGCAAATTGATACAAATAATATATATGAGCCAAACTAGTTCTAGGTTTGGACCCTTAAAAATTGTTAAGTGTTGTTGTTGTTGTTGGTACTATATAACGTACAATTAGTTGTTTTTGGAACTTGGAAATCCATTATTCTTAGAAATGGTTCAGTTTTACATATTCTCGAGAATTGTATATTTTTGACAAATAATCAGTTATCGAAGCGAGAAAGGGTATACTTACTGAATTAATACATACATTGTCTTCTTTTCCTTCCTCTCTAATTCGATCATCATCCATGCTAAGAAATATAGTTTGATTAATTTTTAAAAAAGAGTAAAATTTGAAAGCTGATCATTATACGGGATGCACGCATGTACATATTACTTAGTGCCAATGTTGATCATTGGAGCTTAATTGTAATTTTCTGAAATGTTGTATGCTGGAATATGTATATGTGGTTAGGTGGATGAGGCTATGTATCCGCTATTTTAATAGCATTAGCAAGTATATATTTAATTCATGACTTAACGGGTTATCTCACCATTGAAGTAATATTTCAGGTTTCACGATATGAACTTATTTTTCGCTTCATTCGTAATTCATTCATATGCAATCTTAAATAAATATTGTTTTTCTTTTAACCAAAAAAGGACAAAATTTGACAACAATTTTACTCAGAACCTTTTCCCTTACATTTTCAAACGATTGGGTAAATGCTGTAGGATTTTATTATTACCTCTTAAATATTGAATCACATAAAATATTGTTTTGTACGACCGATACCATTGTAATTTTATGCTTGCATACATAGTTCAATTCTGTTTTCTCTTTGTCCTTCTTCTGCTTCTTGGTGGTGTTGATTTTCGATGATAATCTAGGATGCTGACTAATTTAGAGAGTCCATGCCACCCACACCTTCACAAATGCGTTAAGGTTATAAGGTGATCATGGCTTCCACACTAATGATTGTGTTCATGTTCGTTTGATGATGATGTGATGAAACAAAACGATGATATGCATATAGTGACATAGGTAGAATACACATATTAGAGTACAACAATTATCAAATGTTATATAATTTGTCTATTATTATTATTATTATTATTATTCTAAAAGTAATTTTATAATTCACACGACTCCGTGGGTTTTCTGACTTTGTTCAATTTTACAAAAACTATGAAATGTATGTAAACGTAGGTTCTTCGAAATCATCACATTCATCCATGAATTATTTGGTTTGTTTGTTTACACCACACCCTCATCATCATTCATTTCATTCATCAACGTAATATGACTACTCGCTCACATTATTTTTAGCTCGTGTTGTTGCTAGTAATAAAGGAAAAATGAAGTGTTAAAAAAAAGAGAAACTTAACGTACATTTCCGACGAAGCAAGGATAATGACGAGAGAAATTATAAAAATCGTAAAATTACAATCTATTTGTTACTTTAATCAGTGAATAATTTATTTGTTGAAAGAAAAACCTGTTAATTAATTATTATTACTTACTCGCAAGCGTTTGATTTTGAAATAAAGTTTACTATGTTCCTACAATTCGTGGTGGGTGGATAGGTGGGAGGTCATCTCATTTATTTATTGCATTGATGCGAATGTCATGTCAATCAATCTAGAGAAAGTGGCTTTTGACATAATATTCCTTTCTGTTGGGCTCAGTTTGACTCCAGAGTTCTGCTGTCAGAGAGAAAGCACATTAGGTGGGAGTAGGCCATGCCATCCGTGGAGAACGTGGGAGAAAGTGGCTCAGCTCAGAAACGACCTCGCTCGGCACGGCCAAGGAGAAAGCTGTGTGCCTCACATCTTTTAAGTGCAGGTTGGCAGATCGAGTCCAACCTGCACTCGATCTGCCAGTGGTGGTGGGTCTACTTTTTGTATTTCTTTTGATCATCCCATCCCATCACGCTCTTCATTCAGTCACATATTAACAACAGTCTCCTTTAACACACACTTTTCAACTGCCACTTTCTCCCACTGCCATTTACTCTAAATGTCTTTGGCATTAAATTCTCATTAAATTCTTATCGTGACAACTTTCTACAGAAGGGTGGGGTGAGGTGTTGGGGAAGGGTGGGGGTAGTAGAAGAAGGGGGTGTTCCCGACGCACCAATTGGACTTTACGATACAACAAAAGTTATCTGTCTAAAGAAGAAGAATTAAAGGTAGGCGGAGTTCAATTGTTTTAACTGACAGGTTTAGTTAAGAATAAAGAAAGACGGGATTAATTGGGCTGTTGGTTAATGTCTTGCAGAGGAACTGGGTGTAACAACAATTTGGGACAATTATAATACATACTTATCATGGCGTTGGGAAAACCCTTTCGTGTCGCGAGTTTACAAGCTCCGCATAAATTCAGTATCATTCTTCGTCATCGGAATAAGGATGACGCCCTCCTTTTCGAGTCCAATGCTGTGGCACAGTTGTGTAAGTGCAATAGCATTAAATGCGATTTTAGGTTGTTATTATTAAATTGTTGTTAATCGTCGATGCTAATTATTATTGTTTAATGAATTTCAGCTGCCCCCGAGGTTGCTGTGATTAGGAAAAGTTACACAGAAATTATCGAGTCGTATTATGGATGTCTTGGTGTTCTCCAGTTTTTTCCAGGTAAGATTATTAACGAGCGGAACAAAGCGAAGCGCATTTATTGTGATCGTTTTGTCTGTCCGTTAGCAAGATAACTCTCGAACGCCTCAACATATTTAACCGCAGTCTTAGCCATCATGTTTCTAATTTTATGAAATCGGTCGAAACGTCATCCTAGCAAATCATGCACGCTTCAATGCACTCCGTTTCTACGAGTTTATTGTATTTGTTGGTTGAGTTTATTTATATTACTAATTAACATATTATGCAGTATGCACTCGTTAACGGTCAAAACTATTAGGATGTTATGAACCTATGAATTATAATCTCATCTCCTGCCACATGAATAAAACTTATAACCTTGTAAATTTCTTGTTTTTTCTGCCGCTTTCATTAATCAGGTCCTAATTGTAAAGGTAACAAAAACTGTATAGTGACTTCCATATGAATTCTTTGCGTTGAGACTGTTTAATTGTAGATATTGATGTGGATTTAATTTCCGAGTAATAATGAAATCTGTCATTTCCAGAGGACGAGCCTTTACTTTACCTGGTGCTGGTCAGTGGATGCGTATCTGTCGGGAAGATATTAGATTCTGAAATATATCGAATTACACAAACTACTTTTATCAATTTACGAGGTCCTTTCCCTGAGGATGAACGAGTAACCGAGGTATGTAATATATTCGAAGTTATATGCACGGACGATAATTTAAACTTTGACCATATTCTTTGTACAGATCAAGAAAGTTCTTAATGCTGGGACATTTTATTTTTCATGGTCTGCTGGAGAATCTTTGGATCTAACCTTATGCGAACAACGTCGCGCACACGCGAAGGATATAGATAATCGATTCTTTTGGTAATTTAACTATATATATATATCAATATATCCATTTTCCAGAAATTGTATATAAAAAACGTTAAATTTGCATATGTAGGAATCGGACTATGTTTCTGCACTTTCTTCGCTATGGGATTGACTGCAACGAATGGCTACTAAAGATGACGTGTGGATCTGTAGAAATTAAAACAGTTTACGCTGGTGCTAAAAATGTGAAATCTGCAGTAATATCGAGACTCAGTTGTGAACGGGCTGGAACCAGGTTAGTTAATTATATAGTTCTAACTACATATGCACCTGTTAATTCCAGATGTCTTTGTTCGTACTAAGCTCAAATTTGAGTAATTAGTAATGCAATTTTTGTTGGTTTATTCAATAGGTTTAACGTTAGGGGAACAAATGATGATGGGCATGTCGCAAATTTCGTTGAAACGGAACAGATAATGTGCACTGATCACGATACGGTAGCGTTTATTCAGACGAGGGGTTCAGTTCCACTGTTTTGGGAACAGCCTGGAGTACAGGTATGATGGAAATAATGCAAAGGACATACTGAAATTTGAAATCAATGTTAATGATGTATGTTAATTTAGGTGGGTTCTCACAAAGTACGACTATCAAGGGGTCCGGAAGCTGCTTGTTCTGCATTGGCGAAACATTTACAAATGCTGAAAGATCGATATGGGAAGCAGGCAATTGTAAATTTGTTGGGGACAAATATGGTGGGGTCAAAGGAGGGAGAAGCGATGCTGTCATCTTTATTTCATGTATTTACATACATAAATACAAGCAACAATAACACGAATGCCAATTTTTCGTTATTGCAAATAATTTATATTTTTTTAAATTTCCGTATTTAGTCTCAGCACACCAACGATCCAAATCACAACGATATTGCTCACGTGCTCTTTGACTATCACCAAGAAGTTCGTGGAACGAGAGGGCTTGACCGACTGGATGTTCAAATTGCTCGCTACATTTCAGAATTTGGTTTTTATCATGTTAAAGATGGACAAATACAGAGGTACATTAAATCAATTCCTTGCTAAACATTAATAATTGACTTACCTATAGTATATATTAGTTCATGGTTGGTAGGTACGTTTATTAAGTTCGATTAATGTGGCCATGGCCTTTACAATCAATTATATATGAGAACCATTTAAAATGGTTTAAACGTATATATAAATATTGGTAGGTATCTTGATACTAGTTTAGCCTATTTAGGTAGGTAAGCTTATAGTATTAGTAATTAATTTTATTTTGCAGACAACAATCAGGAACGATCAGGACGAACTGTTTAGACTGCTTGGATAGAACCAATTGCGTTCAAACATTCATCGGATTAAAGGTAATTGAATTAGTTTGAAGATTATAAAACAACTTTAAGCAAGTGTTTAATTAAATAAGTGTACAATTAATTATCTAATATTTAATCTCCTAGGTACTTGAGAATCAACTCAGAGAAATCGGGTTGATACAAACGTACACTCGCTTTGAAGAAGTTTTTCGACAAATGTGGATTAATAATGGAAACGAAGTGTCGAAAATTTACGCTGGCACGGGAGCAATACAAGGAGGTTCTGTTCAAGCAAAGGTATATATTTAATTGGTTTGCTAATTCATTTAATGCTTAATTTATGAAGATGAAATAGCTCTGGTCAATGTTTTTGTATTGCTTTATAACAGTTAATGGATGGTGCTAGATCGGCAGCTAGAACGATACAAAATAATTTATTGGATCAAAGCAAACAGGAAGCCATTGATGTACTGTTATTAGGTCATACGTTCAATACAGAAGTAACCAGTTATGCTCGATCTCTATTGCCAGCTCATTATCTGCACGGTATGAATAAATTAGTTGGAAAGTAGAATAATGTGATAACAATCATGTAATTTGAATTTCTGTTATACAGCCCCGCCCACAATACTCCGCCAAATGGTTAAACGCTGGGAAGACTACACAACTCCAAAAAGTTTACGTGTCGTTGTTGGAACGTACAATGTCAATGGTGGCAAGCACTTTCGGTCCGTAGTCTACAAGGATTTGTCTTTGTCCGATTGGTTACTTGATGCGGCCAAAATCGGTCGCTCTTCATGTACGTCGATGAGATTCTGAATTGATTAGATAAATTTTTATTTGAGCCAGTCGTAAATATATCTGATTTATTTCTTTATTTCTTTAGCCTTGGTATCTTTTGAAGAAGAAGAGGACACTGGACGTCCTGCAGACATTTACGCTGTAGGTTTTCAAGAAATTGTCGATTTGAATGCAAGCAACATCATGGCAGCAAGGCAATTATAAAAACATTAATAACAGTTGACATTGTATCGACACAGCCCTAAAATAGGACTATATTATTGTTTCATGCTAAATTATAGCACTGAAAATCAAAAGGCTTGGGCAGAAGAACTTGGAAAAATACTGAATCGCGACCGAGGCTACGTTTTACTCACTTCTCTCCAACTCGTTGGAGTTTGTCTGTTTATTTTTACTCGTCCAGAACTCCTCCCTCACATTAAGGATGTTGCAACGGACTCGGTGAAAACAGGACTGGGTGGTGCGGCTGGCAACAAGGGTGGCGTTGCTATTAGATGTGTTGTTTATAGTACCTCGATCTGTTTCGTGTGTTCTCATTTCGCTGCTGGACAGTCACAAGTCAAAGAAAGATGCGACGACTTTGCCGAAATTAGTCGAAGAATATTATTCCCAATGGTGAGCAGATGTCAATTTTACCTGTTATATATATGCAATGATAAAAATGATTTTAAGTAATTTAACTATTTATAGGGCCGAACGTTGGACTCTCACGATTACATATTTTGGTGTGGAGATTTCAACTTTCGAATCGATATCGATCGTGAGGAAGTCAAAGATTTGATTAGAAGACAGGAATGGCCACTTCTCCTGAGAGGTGATCAGTTAACTGTGGAACGTGAAAAGGACAATGTGTTTGAAGGCTTCAATGAGGGCGAGATCAACTTTGCTCCCACCTACAAGTACGACCTCTTTTCTGAAGATTACGATACGAGTGAAAAGTGTCGAATTCCTGCATGGACGGATAGAGTTTTATGGAAACGCAACATGCCGCTATCCGATATGAGTAAGACCTTTTTTACGAGTAATTTATATTGTTAAATTTAATGCAAGGATTCTTTTAATGTGTTTAGCACCACCCCATGATTGGGACGCCGGACGATGCTCCTACTACGGACGAGCGGAGCTCAAACAAAGCGATCACAGGCCCGTTGTAGCCGTGATTGAAATAGATGCATTTGCAGTGGATGAACGGAATCGAGATAGAATATTCAAAGATGTCATCAAACAACTGGGTCCGGCAGATGCTACCGTTATCCTCACTGCTGACGACCCTGCAGCGTTCGAGTCCGACGATAGTGACCAGATAATACTGAATGAACTCAGTTGTTGCGGGGACATTATTCTTGTTCGTCACTTGGGGACAGAATTGTGGATAACCTTCAAAGATGGAGTTTCTGCACTTGCAGCCATCCAATTAGAAACCATTCAGGTCTTGGGATTTGTTTTAATGATATGATAATCACATTAATCACTTACTTATTTCACTTTTGTGTGCAACTTTAGGTTGGGGATTATATTGTTCGAATCAATTTAAAAACTCGAGATTGGGACAATCATTTGGAAAAGGAAATGGCTCTCTGCGTCAATAATTGCCTCCCTTTGCTCCCTGGTCAAAATAACAACACAATCAAAGGAGTTAGCAGCTACACAAATCTCATGCATGTTCCTGGTATACTCACATCGCACAAATCATCCACATCATAATAAGATATTTTAACATGTGTAATTTTTGTTTACAGAGGAGCCTTTACGCCGCGTGAGTTCGGAATCCATGTTAGGAGAGGCTCCCAACAAAGTCAAAGTTCCACCACGACCGGCTCAACCAGGGCGACCCGTCCCTCCACCTGGACGCCCCCCACCTCCAAGATCACCTCAACCTGAACGGAAGGTGATGATGCCAGAGGTAAGGACAAGGAGAAAGTTACTCAAGTATTAGTTTGTAGTTAACATTATAAACATACATATTAACTTTCACATATATTTCCCATTTTAGACGGATGCTAAAGTCAGCAAATCAGTCGAAGTATCTCCAAAGCAGTCCCCAATAACAGAAATATTTCAAACATCCTCCTTTCAGAGTCAGCAATCTTCGGCACCACCTCTACCCCCAAAAGCAGACTCTCCAATTTTAGAACAACAAGTCCCTCCCATCCCAAAGCGAGCCAACTCAGTCGAATCTCCCAAGAAAGATATTCGTCCTGTAATACCTCCAGCAGTCTCAAACTACGATCCATGGGAGTCGCATCAAACAGTCCTCGCACAACAACCAGTCGCGCCCGTTGTGAGCAATCCAACAAATCTTCCTCCCATCCCTGCGCGACAAGTTGGATCCAAGCCACCTCCTGGGGCTCTACCCCCAATCCCTGCGCGGTCAGGCGGCGGTCAGGTACCCCCAGTGCCAGCCCGTGGGGCTCCTGCCATCCCACCTAGGAAAACGTAGTCTCATGCAAATAATATGAAGTGATTAACTTCTTATTGTTAATCTAATCCAATATGCATATTAACTCACAAGTAACTAAGCTTCAGTTAATAAGCTTGAGTTGCCCAGTCACTTTTTGTACCTTGATTTTATTCAGAACGGTCGGTTCTTGTACTTTTTTAAACCTTAGCTCTTGATGATGATGGAACTCAGACGGCAGTAATGACTATTATTATTTTCTTTCACTCGCCTTATTTATTCTTGTTTGTATCTCGACTTTTGACAACTAATTTACTTGTGTATTAATTAAGGTTGGTCAGATCAATAAGTATATAAGATTTTTAGTGTCTGCACATTTGATTTGTTACGACTTATTAAAAAATAAGTCAAATTATGGAAGAAACTAAAGATGTATTTTTATCATGCATGGGAAACTTAACTTTAAGAGTGATCATCTAGTAGAAATTAGTACAGAATTGCATTCCAAATAAGTAAGAAAAAGAAGCCATGTAAGTATTTCTGGAAGGAATTAAGTCATCAAACTCGTAACAAGTAGTTTAAAATTAGTTTAGATTATCAAAAGAGTAACAAAACAAAATATATATATTGCGAGCACGCACCGCACTCTGCTAATATGGATACTTATAACTAAATCTCTAGTCTACAGAATGATGAAATTATAATGATGATAATATTATTTTATCTGTAATATAGTCGATATTCTACAATCAGTTCATTCCAAAAAGCCAGTGATACTAAGATTGAAAAAGAGAGAAATAAGAAAATCGAAATAAATCCACTATACATATACGTGACTTGGACTTGGCAGTTAACAAACTTTAACATTTTTATTTATTATAATTACCAAACAATGAGGTACAAAAAATAATCCAATTTCATTATATTGTACAGTGTTGCATACTAATTACTATTATATTTGTTATTATTACTCGTAGTAGTATTCATAATAATGTTAATTATAGATGACATTGATAACAATTGAATGCACCTATCACACAGAAAATTTAGATATCACATTGGAAATGAGATTAGTTTGACGTTCGGCAGCATAAATTTCCTACTTTGACATGTCCGACCCGAAAGGTATTCCCTTCCACCAAGTTGGAACTAAAAATAATTTCAACATGTAAAATGATATTTCTCTTAAAAGTCGTTTGTGCTATAGACACTTACGTCTTAAATCCAATGAAAAACTTGAATCTTCTTCAGCTGCATCAGATGGCGGATCAGATGAAGAAGTACTTTGTCGCCGAGCACCTTCGACGGTAAATAAATTGTTCTCTGACGGATCCTCGCCAGCATGTGGCATCTTTAGCGGGCAGCATTGGTCCATCCATATGTTGGTTAACAACGTTAAACTCTCCACATGCGATGCCTCCATTTTCTGGCTGAGAACTTTAATCACCCTAATCATAACAAAGAATTTCAACGTTATTAAAAGTGAATACTTCATTTTAACAGTCGAATTGGGTCAAGTAAATATACTTACTTTGGAAATACCAACTTCGAGAACTTATTTGGGTTCGAAACAATAATCTTCAAGAGCTCCTCATACGCATTGGTGTAAAGTTTTCCATTAGCTTCTAAACCATCCATGAGTGATTCAATCCACTTCGCTCCCAGTTCCTGCACATGCTCATCAGGACCGAGGTGAGACGTTCCAAGTTTGAGCAATATATTGCAAACTCCCTTACTCTGCAATAGGACCTTCGTAATTGGCTTCCAAATGTTATCCAGCTGGAGGAACAAATCGTCCTCACAAGTGCTCTTAAGATCAGCGCAAAACTCGGGGGACGGGATCATGGCATTGACCAACAGTGGATACACGTCATTCCAATTTTGGCGCATCCTTGACACAATTTTGTCTTTCAGTTCCGATACAGCTTTGTAAGTGTTTGTGCTACGATGCCTATTCAGACAGTCCAATATCGCAGGATCATCAATGTTGAAGGTTCCTCGCATTTCGTAAAGCCTTGCGGCGACGAAAGCAGACAAAATATCACTATCTGACATTTCCTTTTCTTCTGGTTCGTCGGCCCGTATAATATTCGATGCAGACCAAACATCGGTCTGCAAATGAGAGGGTTTACGTCGTATTATCAATTATATGTATCCAAAGTATATATGTATATCAAGTTTACCTTTAACCAGCGCATCATGAACTCTCCGGCTGCTCGTAATACGTCCAAACTGGGGACTTTGACCCCATGAATGACTTCATTTCTTAGAGTAACAATCCAATCCGGCATGCCGACTGATGCAGTGAGTTCCTTGGTTGGCATCGAAGTCGTTTCGCCCATCGCAGTGGCTGCCGTATGTCCAGCATTGTTGAGAAATCTATCGCCACAAAAAGATACACATTCATACATTTTATATATATAGTGTATGAATATGAATATATACTTGCATTTAGCAGAATACTTGGTTATGTTGATATAATTTGTTATTACGTACCTTATCAATGCCAAACTATACAGGGATCGAATAACGTCAAGGTTACACTCTTCATTTAATTCATCCCTGACCTTAGCCTGAAGGAGGAACAAGGTCGCCTCCGCCCACAGTGGAAGATTTGGAACACGACTTTGCCAAATTTGCAATTTTCTTATCGCTTCCAACCATCTGCCAGCACGCAATAATCCACACACCCGGACCCATTCTTCCCTACTCGGTCAATGACCCATTAACATTAGTATTATGCACACCTTAGAATACATGTATAAAATAAATAACTAGCTTATTTCCTTACATAAATGTCCATGGAACAATGTTCAGCGCTGTATTTGGAGTGGAGGGAGACGTGCCCAATGGGGATGTCTCATATCGAGGGGGGGTCAGCATCTCGATGTAGGGATTCACAAAGGGTTTGGAGACTCCCTTGATGAACGGCAAGTTGTTATGCGAGTTTTTCGGGCGATTGTTCTCCGGAGTGCTTGGATTCCTATCCATTTTCTACTTTTATCTCAAAGATAAGTATGGGAATTTGAAATTGTGGGGTTAAATTGACCTAAACTTTCGACTAGGAAATTAATTGGCAGAGGAGCAGAAAAAGGACAAGTGTCGAGCAGGACGGAGTGGAGGAGACTGACTGAAGAGAAGCAGACTGACCTGTGGAGAAGACCGATCTGACTGAAAGAGAAAACGAGTGACCTGTCTGAGGATGAGACTGGTCCTCTCGTCGCGAGTTCATTCACGTGCAGCAGGTAGCGCGCCCCGTGGCTGGTGGGCGAGTTGAGAAGATGGAGATGTGCTTCACATGCTGAGTTTTCATCTCAAAAAATTTTCATCTGAAAACTCTTTGAAGGTTAAAAATTTTGGAATGAGTAAAAATTCACTATGTTGGAGTTAAAGCAAGTTCAACCGAACGGACAATTAGCTGGATGGATGGCAGCTATTAACAAAAATATAAATGATTTATAGTACAATTAATGGTAGTAAGCGACACCACTCATTTATTGAAAGTCTTGTAATTTTCGCATTTGGCGACATCCAAATTCTGTAGATAACTCGTCAGACCCAGGGCATCCAATTTTTAACATGGTAGAATTAGCGTAACGTATTACAAAATTTATAGACAGCATTTTATTAATATTTGACAAATTATCTTGCTCATCAGATAACCATCAAATTTTTATTCATAAATGCCTACGTTTGAAAGGGTGTATTTATTGTAAAATAAATATAATTAAGTTTCCTTCTAAGGATAAATTCGCAATGAAATGCATAGTATATACATAGGAAGTATAATTAAGTAGACTCATCTAATAAGCCTTCACCTACAAAGTAAGAACTAGACAACCATATTAGAATCCAATTGCGAGATGGACAACTTTTTTCACACTTTATTTGACACTATTTCTAAAAGATTTCAAGATATTTCTCTCACTCGGACGTGGTTCTCATTGATGCAGTTGAGCCTCAAGTCTCAAGGACCTTTGACTTTTCACTGAATCGTGACATTATTGGGTTGATGGTGTGGAACAATGATAAAGAATCAAAACTGGGGAGCATTAAAGGAGTATTTGATCGTTATCCCATAATTTCAAGCAATATGCTGCTGTTCTAATAGTCGCCACTGTTGCTCAAGCGAGACAGACACAACTGTTATAAATGGGGAGAAAGAAAGGAAGAATCGCTTGTAAAAATGTGCTACTCTGGCGTTATACATATTTTCTCCTCGGACCCTCTTTTTCCCAACTCGACGGGGGTTTGGGAATTTGGATGTGGAAATCTTCAGTCTTTCACTGCTTTCTCTTGCTACATACATGGTTTTGAGTATCTTTTCCACCACCAATACCATCCATCTCTGAGAAGGTCCATCGAGCTATTCATACCCACCCGACCAACAATCATCCATCCAAATGGTGAGTCAGTCCAGTGACTTGAGATTTCGTTTTCTTGAGACTTTCCTCCTCTTGGTCTTAAATGCACTCCTTCTCCTCTGCTTCCTCTTATCATTATACCCGCAAACAAAGTGCAGAGAGATTTGGACGGGGATGAGATTTTGGGATGGCAAACTGAACTGAAATCATTTAGGAGAAAGCACGACATCCAGCAGCCAGTTATTAGGAGGAAGAGGAAAAAGGCTCGTGAGAGACCCTTTATCAACATTTATTCTTTTTCATTTCACTTGAATTCGCCTCCTCTGTGCAGAGATATGTATGTGGCAAGCTCCCGATCCCGGCACAAGAAGTTGGTCGGATGTTGGCTCCAGATCCAATGTCGCAATTCAATAGATCATTACGAAACCACACCGAAAGCTATAAAATATTTCATGGGTGTTGCCAGTATGTCCGAGTCAGATGCGGGTGATATAACGGGGGGAAAGTAATAATAGAAATTATGGACTTCTTCTTTCTCTCCCAAGAGTCAGTAATACATTTGGTCGTGGTGGTGGTAGATTATCTGAGCGTTTCTTATTTAATATTTGAAAAATCTTTTGTGTGTGATCTTGCGAAATAATACTTAAACTTTGTTGATCTTGGTGTAAAATTATCCGACCCGATAGTCATGCATGCCATGCAACAAATGAACATGGATATATCCTCTCAAATAGTTTACATACACTTGTGAGGTCAACATTTATGTAGAGAAAAAATCGGAAAAAGCAGCAGAGGAATGTTAAATGGAAATTCGAGAGAGAAAGTTGGAGTGAGCAGAAGATGTACTTCGCTTGCCAGAAACCACACCAAGGGTGGTTTTTCTGGACGATGTATAACATTTACGTTGCATAAAGGCGAGAGTGGAGGAGGGAGTGGTGGAAGCATTTCATTTTTGCAGTGATGCCACCATTCCTTGATGCAATACCATCGCCAGTAAGTAAGCAGTAGCATTTAGTTTGGTTTTCAGATGAAGCTCGTTCGAGCGTGTTTAAGAAAGGAAATGATGCGAGAACAAGACTGAAAATTGAATTTGAGAATGCCTTGAAGCTCTGCTTTTTCAAAATCACTTCCTCGTCGTCTCCTTGTCGTGAGGGTGAGTCTGAGAATCCCTCCAATATTTGCTTGTCCTCGCCAATCCATATACATACAAACGTACATACAACAATACCCCCAAATAAAATAATTCTTTGTTCAACAAACTTTATTTATTTCGAGACTTGTTTCACTCACAATTCTCCAACGCCACGAACGCCTGGTTTCCAGCCACTGAGCGTATTATGGGCTTATGCAAGGTATCGAGACTCGATTTCACAGCACGAATCCATTATACGGCTCGTGACATGGCGTTGTTGTTGCAAACGTCTTGCTATTCAAAATTTCTTTTCTCAGTAACTTCCGAACCCTTTCGTAGTGGATTTTCCTCGCACCTTGGCCACAAGAGTCTTGGGCTTCCAAGTGGACAGAAATTTGTTGTAGTTTTCAAAACTCTTACAAAACTCAATTACTTTTTGCTATGTCCTTTTAACCTCCGTGTAGCCATAACTTTCTAAAATAAACATTCAACTATTAGTAAATAACGGGACAAGATGTGCAATTCGCGTGAAGAGCTACTCGAAATATTCTAATTTTTTAAATTGCCCCATGCACTCTAATGACAAAAATGGCTCTTACTCACAATCAACGGTCAATTTCACTTTCCAATCAAAACGAGCGAACAATCAACAATCTATAAGTTAGCACAATGTGGATTACGGATTAGACAAACTGTTATACCAATATTGTATATCAGTCATTGGAACATGTAACGTTAAGACGAGCTTAACATCCATATCGCTGATTGCAATTTTACCATTTCCTCCTGACATTCATCACCACAAGCGAATGTATGAAAAAGTTGGCAAGTCATCATCATCCTCAAGTCAACAATGGTATCATAATCATACGACGTCCACATAAAGGCATCGATAGTTTGCCCACATCTCTCATAAAGATAATTACATATTCTCGGATTCGTTTCGTTTAATCAAAGCGAGCACTTTGCCTGCATTGTTGGACATGATTGATTGAGTAAATTAGATTTTATATATGAAATTGAATCTCCTTTAGATTTTGTTTGGTATTACTTAACAGTTCTCACGAAGTCAGCGGGAAGGCTGCGTATTATATGCGTGCATACATATGTACATACACAAGTACGTTCATCGAGCCTCCTTACTGACCCAACTGCTGTTGTCCAATTTAAAAATCCAATTGATTTGTTGCCTTGTAACTCTTTTGAGACTCATTCTCAGTTCATGGAATGACAATTTGAGCAACCAACGTAAAAGTCGTCTAACCATAGCTTCGTTGTTGCCAGGACCAGGCAGGACTGATGCGCGTTTGTGATGCTTCAATGACCAATCAACATGTAAATGAGGGTCATTGTTAGACAACAATGGGAAATATCTTTCTACAAGCACTGCCTCGTCGTTTGTTCAATTCAATCTCATTTCACTTAACATTTTTTTCAATTTTCAAATTTGAAGCCAGAAACTTGAGAAATGGTCCTTAAATTAAGGCCTCACATCCATCCGCAGAATGGCAGAATGTAATACATATTTTATTTTGTAGCCAGCGCATTGCATATCTTTTGATGAATTTTTGCGTTTATGGCGTTTTTTGCCCGTTTGACAGAGCACATTTGTAGGTGATGGACTGGAAAAGACAATATATTCTGGCACAATGCTAAATATTCGTGCAAAGGAGAGCAGCACATTCATATAATTGACAGGAGTAAAATGTGTGTCATGTTATTTCTACTTTCGGAGATGTCATATTCCACACACTGCAGAGTAACGTGAGATTCGCTGGTTTTCCTCTTGATTCTCAACTTGAACCTCTATCACGAGAGATAAAATCTGTAAGAAAATGGGATTTTATCTGATACGACAGCCCAAAAGCACAAAAATTTGAAGGAGGATCAACTCCAAGATAAAAAACAAAGTATAAAACATAAGACAGACGACGAGACAGAGTTTTGGATGGACGAATATAATCATAATGTGCATCCATGCACGAGTAAAGTTGACAACTTATGCATGTATATTCGTATGTGCACGTACATAGGTGTGTTGTGTAACATTTTGTACTCGTAATAAGCCAGGAAAGATGCACGTTAATAAATATCTTTACGGAAATATGTGTACATATACGAGTTCCAAATATGATAAAGATTTATTTCATCCGTATTTTGAAAGTTCTTTTCTCATCCTTGCTTTTCCTTGCCTGGCTGAGCTGGCTGAACCCATTAGTGTACAGACATGCATTTACTTACTTATTCTATTCATTACGAAATTGAAATCTAAAACCGACCAAATTCGTCCCGAGAATAAACACGCCATGTTTAAATTTAAGCTTAAATTTCTTTGAATTCTCTTTAGTATAAAAGTTGAGCAGGCATTTATGTATTCCTTTCGTTCCTTGTTGGTCATAGAATTATTATTGGTTGCGTGTTTGTATGTTAGCCAATTGTATAATAAAAAAGTGGTCGTCGTCGTCGTCGTCGTCGTCCTTTCTTCTCTATAATTCTTGTGTCCACTCTGAAACACAGTCTCATGCTCATCTACTCCTACTTCCAGATATGTGCGTCGACTAGTTGTTCTAATCCAGCAAAGTTTCTTTCTTCTTCTTCTCCTTCTCCTCAAGTAGTTTGAGACACAGTCGTCAGTCATGAATAGAACAAAGAGACCTTTTCCATGCAGGTCGGACACTGCACTTTAACCGTGTCCCCTGCTGCTAAAGCATCACAGAAACAACAGTTAAGAGTTAAGGATTATGTATTTGAGGAATGGGAAAGGGAAAGCGTTCAACAACAGCAGAATGTGCGTCTCCTCCCCTTTTGCCCTCAACACAAAACCACCACCATCACCACCGTCCCGCATATTTACATGCATGCATTTGGAAAAAGAAAGAATTACTTTTCCGAAATATTTACACCCAAGAAAATCAAATGCACCCAACTTTGTCTAACCAAACTAACGAAGTATTAAAGGATTTATTTATATTCGGCTCAAGGATGAACTTGGATCTGGTCAAGTTTATGTAGAAGCAAAGGACAAAATCAGTTAGGAAGTAAAAATTTACGGAATCGTGTAACCAATTTGTGCCTAAATTCGAGTAGTGGGATGGAACGTGGCATGGTATGCATCATTTGAGCCAAAATCCTACTACACTACTTTTAGAGTGAAATGAACCAATTTTCACAATTGCTATACACTTTGCTGTGCATTTACAAAACTCCTCGCCTCGAGTTAGCAACCACTCAATTGAACTACAATAAATATTAGTCATTCTTCTGAGCCAGTGGGCTTGTTCTTTCCTTCTCACAAAGAGCTACTTTTCTATGTATGAAGACGGCCTCGGAATCCGAGTTGTTTTTAAACCACCGTGTTTATTATTATTACACTCATTAGTAATAAACAGGGCTTTGCCACATTGATGAGCACTACACCTTGGAATTTTATCCGATCGGATGATATCAGAAGGGTGTTGAATTATTCCTCGTAGCCGTATCACATTTCAAACATTGATTAAACCCCTCAGTGAATTGTTTCGATTTCTTGACTGGTATATATTTATACCGTCGTACATAGCTTAATTTTCCTCTTCCAGACGAGTCTCTTCTTCTCCAGCCAATTAGTCATGTACATCGTTTTAAGAGTCACTACTCGCGTCTCACTCGCAACAGCAATTTGATACGAGAACACCACCACTTTTTTTCACAAGGAAATGCATCTCAGTCTCAACTCTGGATGGATGAGTTCAATTAATGTTCAATCAAAGTCCGTATCATAATTTAACCAGGAGTAGGCTAGACTCCAGAGAGCCAGCAGCACCACCGCCCCGCATCGCGCGTATGCCTGCCTGCCTGCCTGCGACCTTTGACGACGATGGGAAAATTATACAGAATGGAAATGGAAACATGAGATTGGCCTCTGAGCAACAAATACGGCGAAGAAGAAACCCTCCATCGCTATCCCGGTGGTAGGGCAGGCAGAGGCGAGTTCGTAATACCTGGAAACATTGCGACTACACGATGACGACGACGACGACGACGACGACTGGAAAAGGAATCCAGAAGAGAAACAACGGAACAAATGTGGATAAGTTCTAACGTGCCCACACCATCATATCATTTCTCTCTCCCCAACAATTCCACGGTACAACTAACAAATAGTGGTAGCGAACCAGCCAGCCAACTGGTGTGCTCTCGTCTCTCTCTATCTCTTGGGATCCCACAGTCAGTTTTACCTCAGTCGCTCACAGAACCGCTTTCAAAGAGGAGCAGCGTCGTTTCTCTCCTTCTCGTCGAATAAGCTCGCTTTCGTACGTGTATGCACGGCATCATTTCACCGTGAAAAGTTGGCTCCGTGCGTTCTGCAAACTTGTTTCTGCTCAGTTTCAGTTTGGGAGAGAGAGAAATCAACTCATGGTAAATTTCAGTCTCGGAGAACTTGAGATATTTGTTATTCCACAGCGTTTGAGATCATTACTGTTGTTGTTGTGGAGGATATCGGATATTCGTCTTAATTGAGACTGTGTTGGTGGATCCACGTTCCTCAGGAATATTGTAAACTCTCTTTGCCAGAGTAATCATCAGGCGAGACTCAGTGTGAAACCACAAGTGTCGTTATATCAATATTTGATCTTTCTTAATGTGTGAGATTTGAAGAGGTGTCTCACTTATCGAGACAGACAGCCAGCCAGTGTGCATATGATTATTATTGCTTATTCTTATGCAACAGAGAGAGATCATTATCATTCTTCTTCTCGCGTAGAGAGATGGACAATCTGAAGAGTGAGGAGTGAGTGATTGTGTTGTTGGGACTTCTGAATTCGCTCGTGTCAACAGAGAGCAGAAAAAATACTCTTCTTCCGTGTGTGCTTTAAAGCTAAGCTTACTTACTATATTGTCAGCTACTTACTAACCGGGCTGAATTTAAGACTAGGAGCTGTTCTGCAGAAACATCTCACCTTAAGACAAAAAACCACTTAGGATTCGCATAGTTGGGAAGAGATCTCGTCGGAGAGGAGGAAAAGACGAGGGTGAAGGAAGGATTGTGAATATATGGGATTTGTGTAGAAATCTATTCATCAATCAATCCTTTGGTACCAACAAATACCTGTTTTCTCTCCAGTGGGAAGTAAGTTGAGAACACGAAGGAATGCCGAGAGACAAAAAAGGGCAACAATCAACAATACTTTGAATCATGATTTCATGGATAACGAGCATGAAATTTTGTGGGTCTTCTCTCTCCGAGGGATGCAACAACTACTAACTGAGAAGTCGGCCAAGGAACGACGAGGGTGTTGTTAGTGGATGGTATAGTTTCTCATGAAAACATAAAAACTGATCTCCTGCTGCCTTCCAAAGTGTTTTACACGATTGACAACTCTTGTTGAACTGATAGTTAATATATTTATACGATTTACAGCCTCATAAACAAGTATCAGTTTCTTGCCTCCTCCTTCAGGCAGGGAAATTCCTGCCTGTGGTTTGTTGTTTGTTGTGTGGTTTCCAGAAAAGAACGAGATCAACAACTCGTTTCTGGGGTAAATTGGGGCTGTTGATCAATCATGACCCTTCCTCACACAACGAGACGACGGATCAACCCGTCTCTCAGATTTGTTCTTCTCACTTTCTTGCAGACTTTCTGGTAAATTAAATTCCGTAGTGCCACTGAAACAATTTACTCGGTTTCAGAGAGTCAGCAAGTGGTTGGCAGTATTTTATTGGGACAAAGCAGCGTGAGAAAGTTACCGTCAATCTCAAGATGAACCGAGTTGGCTGGGCATGTGTGTACATTTGTAAGCACGGTACGAGTTGGAGAGGGGATAAGCTACGTATGTAATATGTGTAGTTGGAAACTACAATATATTTATACGACATGATAAAATGCATTAGGATGAGGAGATGATGAGGGCTTAGCAGTGCAAACAGTACTTGTCCCTCTCTCTGTATATCCGAGTGTACATATTTTTTTCAATCAGGATTCAGATAAGATATCAAGGAAAATTCTCTGCATATTTTTAACCAGAAAGAAACCAACTCGGAGGACCAAGTTAAATAAGACCAACACGTTTTGGACAATGTACATACACACACGGCTTTGCTGATAAACGTTGTACAACTCCAAGAGTGGGAGATTTGCTATATAGAAATCATGATGCTTCACTTATGCATAGAGATCATAATAAAATAATCATGTCTTGCTGCTCGTCACGAATGACCAGAATAATGTGCATGCAATTTACTTGGCAGCTATAAAATTCCCCAGCAAGAAAGTGGGGAATTTTTACCTCAATAATGAGAATATGATGATGATTGTGTGAACCGCAAGACGAAACGAGAGAGGGTTTCGTGCACAAACGCTGCGGGTTATCCGGAACACAACAAACAAACAAAACATATTATTTTATCTCTGGAGTGAGAGATAGAACGGAAACTGATACTAGTTGCTCATTCATATTCTATTATTATCTTTGGGTCCATTCCGGTTGTGGCGGTGTCATATGTACGATACTTGAGACTCATCTCTTACCATATGTAAACCTGCTCTCCGTTCCTCTGTGACTATTTCCTAACGGTGAGGAAGAATTGGACAGGAAGCAGGAAACGTGCAATGAGCAGGAGGTACGAGAGTGGACTGGATACGACGTGTTGTAGTAGTAGCAAGTCGCCGTGATTCGGCACTTGCGGATTTTATTCAGCCAAAGTGACCAGTGGTGGGCTAGAAGCAGGCAGCACAATTTGGGGAGCAACTCAAGAAGTGGACTACGACGCGGAAAACGACGACAGAAGAAGAATAGCCAACCCGACTCCTCGGTGGTGGCATTGTAAATACATTGTTGACAACTGGTGGGGGCTGAAGATGGGCGCGAGCTCATTAATCAACCCTTCCTCCGCTTCGTCACCCAGTCCTAGGATCATGGTCCTGATGGACACCCGAGGCCTGTCCACCCTCTACGCGGCGGACCGGATGTTGCGAAGTGTGCAGAAGATAACGATGGTGCTCTTGGTGGCAGTGCTGGTCTTTGTGACCTCGTCCGGACTGAACAACGAGATTCTGGGGAGCTGTCCCAAGGAGTGCCAATGTTACAACTTGCAAGTCGACTGTTCCGAGCGAGGGCTGAGCTCCGTCCCCAAAGGCATTCCACGCAACGTGGAGAAAATGTGAGTCATCTTCTCCTTTCACCATTTTCTCTCGTTTCTGCATGCATTCCTTCCCCTCCATGCACATTCATCCAAGAGGGACATTGATTCACTCTCTCCCTCTCATCTTCCCATCACAACCTTAATAAACTTAACTGCTCCAATAACTGCCACACACACCCCGGAGAAAGAGAGTATCAGTCACCCTCTTTCTCTCTTTCTACCGAACCCATTAATTTCCTCCGCTCTGTTTCATCCACCTAATCCCCATTCTTCTCCATTTATGCAACACATATCCATACACGGACCCATCGCGCTTTAATAGCGAAATGAGTACGGAGGAGGAGGAAGAAGTTGTAAAGAAATAACACCGCAATAATAATAATTTCCCTCGATCCGATTTCTCCCCATTTTCAACAAGCCAAACACTTTTACTTTTACACATTCACACCCATCGATCCAAACTCATTCACTTATTTGCCTGGTCTACATAAAATAGAGCAGGCAAAATTGCGTTGTTCAACATGCCGTTCTCACGCACTCACTCTACTTTTTCTTTCATCCGTTCATATCAACCCATTAAATGGCGTGCTTTGCAATCATTCGCCATATTGAGTGAGCCAGTTACGTACATGCACACGCTCCCAATTCCCAATTTACTTTTTCTTCCGCAACATCAACGAGTGGCCGACTCTCTTTTCTGTACCTCTAATGATAAGCCAACATACCATACGAGCGAACTAGGGACGAGGGCGGCTAATGAAGTAATGTCGCAATTTCTACTCGGATCATCCATTCTCTCATGAATTCCTCTGAACACTTGTCTACATTCCGATCCCCTATTTCTTTAATTACATTCGGGTGAGGCCACACGCCAGCCAGGCAGCAGTTTAAACAAACGGCTGCTGAAATGTAGAGCTCTTTCTCTCTGCGTGTGTGTATTCTTGTTGTACGGGCGAATTGTTTGAGTGGGGAGTACATAAGTACGTATATAAGTTGTGGAGGAATGTTTTATCAAATAGGGATCCAACTAATTTCTTGGCATCAGTACTTCTTCGCCAGATATCCCCAGCTTTCGCATCTCCCTTCATCACTGACGACTGGAGAAACGGTTCTTCTTCTTCTTCTTATCTAATCCGTAAATGCTGGGTTGATCTATTGGAGCAATTTAATTATACAGGGCTCGTAATTCCAATTGAAATACGAGTAGAAACAGAGAAGAAGTTTACCACCTTCTCACTCACTTTAATGCGTAACTCTCTTTCTCTCACCCATCAGCACCTGAGCTCCACTGGTTGAAATGGTGGTGGTGGTGGCGTGGTGCCCCAAATACGTAGGAGTTGCAGAGGAGAGTGAGAGATAGAAGTGTAAACTTGAGGAGAAAGTGGCATTGTTTGAGGAGGGAGGGGTGCGATGTCGTAATAGCTGAAGAAGTAAGTAGTAAAGTGGAGGAGCCAGGAGGAAGGACAATAGGAGTGCACAAACAGCACTTATTAGTCTGGGTGGCAAAGACAACAAATTGATAAGAGACAGAAGGGCACTGGAGACGGGAGATTGAGTGGATGGGAAATAAGATCACGAAAAAGGGATTTCATGTCACTCCTCGGGGAGGAGAAGAAGAGAACACTGGTTGAGTGAAAGCCTGATTTAAATTAGTTTTCCGTCTCAACCATTTCATTCATTGCTTTCTTAGTGAGACTTACTTTGCCGACGACGAGGTCCAATCACTTATTCCTTCAAAACCCGACTCGGCCAGCTAACGAGACGTTTCAACAACGTTTTAAGCCTTTAACTCGCTGCGTGAGGAACCAAGAAACATCAAATTACTTATGAAAGTAGTAGATATGTACGCTGACCTCGGTTTAATTTCGACAGAATATTAATGCATGCACACTGTGTACATATGCATACACGCTGAAAGCCAAAACCACAGGCCAGCCGAGTAGATAATATTCTGACGAACATTTTCAAGCCTTTCAAAGTTAACGGGGAATCTTACCTTATCAACTTTCATTTATTATGCCGTTTTGATATTAATCCCCGGGTTTAAAAAGGAACGGATTGCCAATTACTATCCATACCCAGATCATTCCGTAATAGCATGCCACATGGAAGAAACGTTAAAAATGGAAGAGTTTGTGTACTCTGCCTGGAAACTCCATGCACTATTGATGAAGTGTCCCATTAACTCGGCACGCTTTCTTCGCCGTCGTCCTCCTCGTCTTCTTGGGCCACACAGCGAGGCGCACAGACTTTTGCAAACTTTTCTTAAGCTAGACAAGCAAAAATAGAGAGGTTGCCAGGTTGGGTCGACATTGTTGCTCTATTCGAGAGTAGTTGAAGGTAGTTGTAGTTTGGCTCCTCAAGACATTAGCAGAACCCCGTCCTCTCCTCCGTTGTCCTTTTCCCCCATAAAGCAGCAAACTGTTTTGGGACCTTTCGTGCCGAAGCAGAGTAAAATGTGAAAGTAGTCTCTTTTAGGAGAAATAAACTTGAATAGCTTCAGAGTTAGCTCCACATCTGAACCACCGCCGCCATGCCATCGTATCATCAATGGATTACTTTCTTAATGCACTTTGAGCACCAAACACACAACACACACCGCTCCCGCTCCTGCAGCTATCATCAATATGCCAACGTGCGCCCAAAACCGAACCCTTTGTCCCGAAAAGCATGTGAGGAAACACCTCGGCATTCGTGTCATGAATTGGCAAGCGATGTGGCGCACAATAAAGCATTCATTTATTTCCCCTATTCTCATTACCAGCCACCTTTTTACACATTATGTCTCGCTGACTTTTCTCCTCAGGTCAAGTCGAGTCAAATTCGTGGTGTTGATTTAGAGCAAACAGAAGGCTCTTTCACACCACGGGTTAACTAGCGAGCAGAATTGTGATGATGATGACGATTTGTCAAACCGCAGTGTGTATGTACTAGTCGTAAGTATTTCGACAGTTTGTAGCAGGGTCGGATCAATACGAGACAGAGGAACGCTGTAAAATTTGTAACGAGGATTGATCGTTTTATACTCCTACTAATTTTTGAATGGACGATACAAGTTTAATAAAAATTTACAAGTTTTTGGGTTTGGCAATTTTTACGCACATTACTTAATTCCAGTGTCGTGCCTGATTTTTTGACTGATTGAGCCCTATAATAAAAGAATGAAAACATAAAGTAGTTGGCAAAACATTTAAACAGCGAGGATATAGAAACTTGTTCAATCAAGAAGAAGAAATTACGACGAGTAACAGGTTTTCATAATAGAATCTGGCAGAATTTGATGAGTCTCATTGTTCACGACTTTTTTGGAAGTAATAGCACGATAGACAGGCAATAAGTAACTTGGAACTCGCATCATCAATTGATTTTATTCACCATTCGAGTTAACAACTGGTTATGGTATAACTTATACAAATAATACCAACTATTTACATGTGCTCATTACACCACGGAGTGAAACTCGATAAGCAACAAGGTAGCGTCGTGAGGGGTTTGATGGCAGTATTGATTTATGGAAAAAATACTCACTCTCGCCGTAACTTACACATGTACAGAGCTTATTCTTGATTATAATTGCTAAGCGTTTTCCACCAACAGCAGCAATTCATCAGGTAAATTTAAGTTTCGAAGAATGTACTGAAATTGGGTGGTAAATGGTGATAAGGATTTGGTTGGAGGGATAACGGATTCCAGGCTCAACAACAGTTTATTAACGTGCCTCTTGGCATCTTGGGGATGTTTCCTCGGTTGTTACCGGCCGAAAATGGATGGATAGATCCAGTCGTCAAGTTCAAGTTTGACTCAAATGCTTGAAATTACGTCGTCGTTTCTCCAGAATTTAATAAGGCGAGCATCGTCGTCAACTCGAGAGAGGTAGACTAATAACATCAACAACAACATCTTTACGACCCTGCTGGAATTTATAAGACATTTTGTCTTCTAAGTATCCGAAGGTCCAATATTTCTGTCGAGTCATTTACAAAACTCGGCTCAAGGTGATTGAATTGCACCGCATGAGATCACTCCTCCAACTTCCATCACTGCACTTGATAATTGCATGAATTTTTGATGCTGTCCTGTTATTTTGTTCATAATTGATTGAGCGAGAAGACGACGGAGATTAAGTTGGTGGTGGTAATTGCAAATTTCACACACTATTAAGGGCAAAACTTTAAAGATGAAACATTGCTATATACGAACTAAAGTGGGCATCATCATAAAAAGGCTGTCGTTTCTTCCTCCTACTTACTTAAGTGAGAACGAGTGGATAAATGAATTTGGTCCCGTCTGCCCCTGTGAATTGTGATGGTTGATGGGCCAGAGATAATAAAATACGATAAAATATGGGCAACAACCAAAGAGACACTGCCAAGTTGTTGACAAGCTTCATTGCCCCCTCTTCCTTATTAATGCGGCTAATTGCTTGGGGTGGTTATGGAAGTTTTTGTATGTACATGCTTCGTCGTGGCCCAAACCAAGTTCATATTGAGAAAGAACCGTTGTCGTTGCGGGTTTGCGTTTATGGTTTCCAGAAGAAGGGAAGGAACAATATCCACTAGTTTCCAACCTGTCAATCAAAAACCTGAATTTGAAAGGAAATTGGAGGCTGACGATGATGACGAGTGTCGTCATAAAATTAACCCGAAGTGCGGTGACCACACCACCATCAGCATGACGGTGGTCTGGCAAGTAAAGTAATAATTTGACACGATGGTCACATTCTTAAACTGACAGGCATTTTTTCTGTGTTACCTGAGAACGATGTCAAAGCTGTAAAAAACCACATTCTCTCAATGTCCCAGCATACATACAAATACATAAATGGGACCCACACTCTACACAATCTGCATCTAAATTGCGCACCCAAAGTCTAAAAACTTAATCCAACTCGTTTGATTAAAGTATCTCATAAATTTGTATTTTTTATTCATTTTTTAGAGAACTTCAAGGAAATAACCTGACCATGATTCGCCTCTCGGATTTCGCCGGACTTGGATCATTGCGAGTAATGTAAGTATTTAGCAGTGGACTTATTTACTTTGTGTGTAATACATTTGTACGTTGTCAAACGAGCAGTCAGTGCAATTTTCTCTTGTTCTTTGTTGTTGTTGTGCGAGTAAGTAGATGGAATTTTATTGTCTGCCAAGGTTCGTATGATTCTCTAATCTCGTCATTACTATGCACGCAGTTAGATATTTATGAAGAAATGACGAGTTTTCCAAGCTGAAAGGTTTTACTTTTAGTCAGCCAGCGTCACAATTACATATTACATAAGTCGAGGATATTTTAGGCATATTTGCATACATTAGGGCACACCAGTTGTTCGTCCTGTTAATGTGGTGTGACAATGTGAAAGGAATAAAGAGCGGAGGAGTAAAGCTGGGGGAGCCTCGTCTTCTCTGCTGCTTTGAAATATTCAATTTAAAGTTGGGCGACATTTATTTCGTACAAGTTACAACAAATTGTGCGAGAGTGCTGCTGCTGCTTCTTTTGAATGAAAAGATTTGTGTGATTCGATGCAGCACTGCTAAGTAGATGGACTGCTCCAGATAGACAGATAAATGGTACTTACACTCGTAGTTACTTATGCATGCAGAGTTGTGTGTACGCTGCTCGTGCTTGGCTTGACTTGAACAATTCGAGGAGGAAAATGGACTGAAAGTTTTGATTGAATTAACTTTCAGACAATATAGCAACGTCTGAGAGAAACATATTTCATTTTGACTATTTTATTTCATTAGACAATTGTCCGATAACGAGATTCATACCGTGGAGAAGGGCTCCTTTCAAGATCTGGCCTCGTTGGAAAGAATGTAAGTTGTAACTTTTTCAATATAAATGCATACGCTTCAAATGCCTCCTCGCTGTCTGTCTTCGCTCTCTTCATCCCGTCGTCGTCGTCGTCGTCATCATCATGAATCTCATTCAATTGACTACATTATTACGACACGACGACAACCAACAACACGCTGCCACTTGAGCTGAACCAAACCAGCAGCAGAAGCAGAGAGTAACCAACTTGGTCGTATTATTTGTTGTCCTTAACCAACCATCACCCTTTCAACGGGATAAACATGTCCAATAATTATTTATTTACTTTGAAAAGACATTCACATTTCGCCCAGAGAGAGAGATTTAAACGTACCAAGTTACCATACACTCGACCGACTCTAATCCAATTCAATCCAGTTGTAACCACTCAGCAGAAATTTGTCATAGATCGGAGGCCTTTCGTCCCCCGCAAAAGTGTGTACTCCAAGTACTACGAGGTTTGTCGTGTACTCGGGCCTCCAGCTAAATGTACTGTTACTCTGAAGTACAGAGGACTCCGATCTATGAATCTTGGACTAAATTGCAAGGCCAAGTCTGTTTAATCTATTTGTTCATATATCTGGAAGCCTTATTGTCGCCGTCGTCGTCCATTATTTGTCGTCACTTATTACTATTCGGCAAATTTTTTGAGCTACGACGAACATAAACCTCGGCTTCTTTATGCAGTTTGGCTCCACTTAAGTTACTAAAACTAAAAACGTCATATTAATTTGCATTAAGCGACCAAGATTCTTTCTGGCACCTTATTTATTCCGTTATGTAATAGCTTCCTTCCTCCTTTAGACAGTTTTCTAACAGAAAATACCGTCCAATGCCCAACATCGGATCCAGTTTTACCCTGTATGATAAAGCGTGCGTAATAATGGGAGACAATGGGCACTGATTGCCTGGTCACTGATTGCTTTTTCCTCTGCCATTATTTTTTGACAAATGGGGACTTAACTTATTACAGTTTACAGTATTTATGAAGTCAAAAACTTAAGAAAATTTACAAGGAAAAGAGGATTTTAAATAAATAGACGGAGGCAGCTCTTACAATTGAAATAGGAATCTTGCTCATTCATCAGCCCACATATCTTAAGTTATGGTGTCGTTACTGGCTATTCTACGCATGCAAATGAGCCAATTCAATTTCATTTCCCTACTTGAGCGTGGGCATTTTATAACACCCCGATTGAGGAAATATGTACACACACATTTGATATAACAATTTCCTTTATATGCCTCATGCTCCTGTTGTTGTTTGTCCTTCCTTGATGGAAGTCAGGGACAAGGATTCAATGCTTTCTTCTTTCTTCTCCTGCTGCTGCTCCGATTTGAAAAGAAAATGCTGGATGAGTGGTGACTGATAAGGAAACAGGTTGAGTTTTATTATGGTGACTTCTCCATTGTTGCAAGTCTCGCGAGTTAGTGGTGAGATAACTGTCTTATCAGGACTGGACTCGTCTCTCCTTGCTCCACGGTTGAATAGAAATAGTTGGATGATGATGACAATGGTTCCTTGAAATAAAAGGGTGTAAGATACTCATACGTATTAAGTGCACATATGAACGCTTATTTCTTCTGGGGGAAACCAATTTTCAAGATAAGATGCAAATACATACGCTCGTATTCGGGTAAAATAGGATCACCGAATCTTTCTCGCGGAATATAAACCGATGATGAGCCGGTGGTCGTCTGATGACCAGCAGGTTAGTGCTGTAACCAATCTGTGTCCTTACTCACGTAACGTCATTCATGTGAAGATCTTAACAAAGTGCGGACTTGAAAATGGCAGGGTTTTGATTTTAGTGAGTGGCGTGGCCATCCTCCTTCCTCGTTGAGATGACGGAGAAGGTGTTGTTTGTTGGCATCCAAAAGAACGCATGATTTGGTTAGTCGTGGTCTTCTCTAATGCAGCGAGCAAATTTCCATCCGAACGGGTGTTGGTCTTGTTATAAAAGTAAATGGAGTGGATGGAGCCACGTCGTCATTGGAGATCTCGAGAAAAATGAGACTGAAAAGGAAATAAGTGGGTACTGCCGCCTCGGGACCCATAACGGCCGAAGAGAGGAAAGGAGAGGGCGAAACTGGTGCGTTAAAGGACTTGTTCGCACCCCGTTGATAGTTTGATAGCCGACGACGACGAGGACGACGACGACGCATCCAAGTAATACGACTACACGTTGTTCCTTAACACTGCCAAATATAGCGGCGTTGAGGAAACACTATCATTTTATTGTCGAGTAGCAATCTCTCTGCATGGCTCTGGTCCTCCTTAGCACGCACCAATCAACTTATCTTCTCCTACTAAATACGATAAGCAAAGTCAGCACAAGAGAGCATAAAAAATTATCTACTGCTAGAAAACGACCAAGCAAGCAATCACGTGTCGTTCTTCTCACCAAGTGTCCCCAAGTGTTTACTTCATAACAGGCAGCATTGTATGTGTACGTACAATAAGTTGCAGTGTCATCCTTCCAAACTTTCTTGGGTAGATATTCAATTTCGTCACATTCCCCGTCACTTCCTTGACCATGCAAGGAGCTACCAGCTACACATTTGTATAGGAAACTGCTACCAACGTAGGAACATCATCACACGCCGGATTTTGATTACACGTTCGGATTTCCTCCAAAAACGGCTGCCGCCACGTCCCATCAAACAGCGTCCAAACACAATTAAATTAATGGATAAATAAAAACAAGTTCCTTCGTCTTCTTTTTTCCTCGCCTTCGCCTCTCATCTATTCATCCAGTTCACTGACTTTACTTGGATGTTACTAAGTGCCGAGATTTATTCACCAAAAGAAGAGTTGCAATAATATCCAAATGTATGGCAGCTTGTGTTACATGCTGACTCTCACCAGTACCAGGGCACCCTTCGCATTTCAATTGATGAGCATGCATGTGTGTGGCATCATTCATTGAATAGGTTCATCTTCTCCCCAAATTGGAAGGCTATTAGCTTACATGAGATTTTAAGTGATCAAATGGACCGCACGAAGAAGCAAGTTTTTTTTCTCTCTCTCTCTTCTGATTCAATCCAAACTGTTTAATAATCAAATCGAAATCGACCCTCCTTCTTCTTCGCATCTCGTATGCATCGTGTAAACGATACGCTTTTCTCATATCAAAATATAAGCGAAAAGAATTGTAGGAGAAACGCAACAGCAGCTGCACTTATTCAATCCATGCATGCATCCGTCCAAGAAATGTGGCTGAGGGAAACATGCAACTGATTAGATTTCGATATGTTCCTCACTTTCTGAGGAGAAATCGGGGATTAGACTTCGTCTCGGTTTCTTCTGTGTGTGGTTAGTAGTGGGGGCTTAAGGTTGGAAAATGAATAAAACTCGACGGTAGTTGGTTGGTGGGTGTGGGGAGCGCAGTTTCTCTTGGAGCTTGGCCAGAGACCTGGTAACGCGTTCCCTCCTCGCATTTCACTTAAGACGGCAAGGACTCCAGCTGCACCGAGAAGGCGCCTTGGCTTAACCTCGGAAAGAGAAAGCACAGAATTCTACCCCGACCGAATTGTTGCACTCCTTTTTTTAGAAATCCTTGTGACCAGATGGGTCGTTTCTTGAGTGAGTAAGTGTTGCAATGTCCAGCCTGGAATATGGATACAGAGAGAGGGAGAGAAGGAAATAGATCTCGGACCAGATTTTCAGCAAGGAGGATTTTTCTCTTTTTCGGATGAATAGGTTGGAAGTGGCTGATGGGGTGGTCCCACCTTTTTCAGTCGGGGAAGAAAGAGAGAGAGCCAACTTGATGAAGAGGAGGATCGGGTAATCCGGCCCGGCTATGTCTCACTTATCTGTGTCCGTCTTTCTCTCTCAAATGTTGCCTTTATCTCGGACGGACGGACGGGGAGCGAAAGTGAAAGTGGGAGGCAGGCAGGCTGACTGAGTTTGGAGAAAGCAAGGAAAGGATGAACGTACGGGATTAGAGTATTTGTGCCACTTGCACCATCAGCTCTCTCTCAGAAATGTTGCTGCACTCCTTTGACAGCGAGGAAGAGAGAAGCAACCGTCTTTTTCTTCTCTGTCACATATTCATTCCCGTGTAAAGAATAAAGCGTTTCTTGCCTGTATCCTCCTCCTCGTCGTCCTGGAACATATGACAACTTCCTCCTCCACCATGCATCACAGCCAGACAACCCACTGGAACGTGTGGACAGAGAAAACTGCCATGATCTCGGAGCCCTGGTGTCAATTTATCTCTCCTGCAAGAGGTACCCGTATGTCACTCGTGCCCTAGAAAAATGCGGCGTAAAATCATAGCAGGGCAAAATATCACATAAATCTTTTCAAGTATTGACTCGACTTAATCTCCGACACCGGAGGGATCATTAGTCAACAGGGTGGGACAACCCGGGTGAGAAAAACCTATTGTCAGTCAGTTAACAAGAAGAAGCGAGGAAAAAAAGAAATAAACACATTTTTGCATTCATGTACACGGCCCGAAACTCGTTTGAGCGTGGAGCCAGTGTATTAATTAATCGGTACACAAAAGTGTTGGCATCTCTCTGTGTGTGGTTGGAGGAGAAATGGGCTGGCAAGACATTAATAATGAAAAGAAGAAATTATGAATTGTGATCAAGCACTTTTTGACTTGGTCGGTTGGCACGGTGTGGAAGAATCTCTCTCCTCCTGGCAGGAGAGAATTGGAGGGCTTTCAAAGAATATTAACTGCCGTCTTCGTCTTCTTTCCCTGCTGTTTCATTCTCAATACGTCTATCTCATGCCATCCCATATTCTTTTCTGCTTCGTGGCCAACGTGTATGAACTCACGCAAAAATTATTACGTACGTTTGAATTCAACGCAATAAATCTCTCCTGTCCCTTCCAAACTCTGCAGAAGAGCTGTAGGTGATTCCTCTACTGCTTCGCACAACTACTGCCCACTGACTCGGCGATATAACTCACCAGATCTCGAGGCTAAAGTCAACACTTTTTTCCTTATTTAGCACCACCACCACCAGCCCATTAGCAAATTTAGAA